AGAGGGCTGAGTGGAGCCAGAGAAGCAGAGAGAAAGCTGAGGGATGCAGGTTACAGCCTAGTCCCTTCTCAGGCCTGAGGGTGAATTCTTGTCCCCACCCTTGGTGCAAGGCCCTAGCATGTGTTCCCATTCCAAAGGCTCTCTTGAAAATACTGGGAGTAACCAGGACTATTACAGATCAACACAATTCATCAAAACACACATAACTGAAGAAACTGTGACAGGGATCAAAGCCCTGTCTTCCTGCTGTGCTAGAAGTATTTGTGATATTAGTGCCAGCACGTAATTCAAAATAAATTGCCAGGCTAGAATCCTCATAGATTGAAGCACAGTCTCAGGACTTGGGTCCCTTCAATGTTTTTAAAATACCTGTTGTTGACTAGGCAAAACACTCTCCTATTTCAAAAATGCAAAAGGTTTGAAAGGGTCAGTGGAAAACAAAACAAAACAAACCCAAAAACAAAAACAAAAACACCACACACACACACACAAAACAACTTTTTCCTGTGTCTTCCCCAGCTACCAGCTCTCCTCCCCAGAGATAATTGGTGTCATTAGCCTCCTGGGTGTCTTTGCAAAAGATCCAGAGACACAGGAAGTTACAAAGGGACACCTTCTGAGAGATGGCTGGATTGCTGTGTGGCTGAGCAGGATAAGCAGGTGCTGAACAGGGAACAGAGCTGTCTTGGTATGACCTACCTTCAATCTACACAGCCCTGGGAGGGTTAGGATCTGATAGGAAGGCTTATTTGATGTTAGCGATAAAGTCTGGTACTGACTAGCACAATGAATTACTGCCATGTGTCTAGGCTGCATTCAAAGGGATAGGTAATGACTGACAGACAGTTTATGCCCCATAAGTAGTGTGAGAACCCCTAAGTCTTTCACATACGTACTTACTTTTCTAAGTGAAAAAACACGGCCATATTTTCAAATTATTTTGACTGGAAACAGTAGTGTTTATCAAAAATCTTTCCTCTTAAAAGAAATACTGACACCAATGTGAAGATCACAGCATGATTTTTTATATTTCAATAGCCAAAATGACTTCGTTGCTGGGATGCAACTCTAAAGATGTAATATAAATTAATAAGAAAATAGCAATATACATTTGCTTTGGTGCCAAGTTTTAAAGCTACTTGAGCAAGGCGTATTTATTTTGGTGTTATGAACTTTTAAGTTTTCCTTATCTGGAATGACAGTTAAAAGAGTGTTAATACATTTTAAAAAAATCTTTTTTAAGTTTATTCTCAACATGAGCTGTTACTATCAAAAAACTTACTTAATATGTATCTATTAACATTTACTTAAACAATGAAAAGATCAACAACTTATTTAATAAAATACAAGTCTAGTTTTCATTTCTTCAGAGGAGTAAATAGCCAATAGGATTTGGGAGGTTTAAAAAAAATCCCATCAAATAGAAAACACACTACAAGACTAATTTAAAGTGTCATTGGTACAGGCAGGAACAGTCAGAGCCCCTTAACACATAATGTGGAACCCAGACACAGACCGTGGCTATACTAGAAGTGAGCTTCACATCTAGAAGGTACAGAGACAATGGACTACTAATGACTTAGAAAAGTAAAGTTCATGTATTCTCTTGAATCATACACAGAAGAAGGTGCCCAGTGGATTAAAGCTTTAAGTATTAAAAAAGTTAGAAACAACAGTTTTATAGTCTTGACTGCTTTCCATAGCGCACAGAAAACAACAACAACACAATAAAAAGTAACAGCACAGAAAGATTTCAGGTGCAAATGTTTACCCAAAAGATAGTGAAAAAAGATAAAAGGCTAATAACAGGCTAGAAAAAAAATAGAGGACTAATATCTCAGATTTTACTAATCTACATAAAAAACAGGCAATCCAAAACAAAATTTACAAAGGTTTAAATACAAAAATCAAGTAATTTAAAAAAGGGGTGGTCAATAAAGCTAAGAGGAGATTCCCAGTCTTACGAAAACCAATGTATTACTATTAATTTGTATTCTCTAGAATACAAATCTTGCAGCTGCTCATAGACCCCACTGTTGATGAGGGTGGCTGAGTATGCAGTATATTCATCCACTGTGGATCAATAAACCAAGTGTTCTCTTCGAAAGATAACAGAGAAGAATCTTTAAAAGACTGTAAAACACATGAATCCAGTGACCTAGAAAATCCAGTTAATGGTGCTACCACAGAAATACTGGTGTGTGTACACAGACATAAGCATGAAGCCAAAGTCTTAGTGTTGATAATGAAAAACCGAAGCACCATAAACATCCAGTAGTACCTGTTAGTAGTGTACAGTACCCTACCTATGGGACACCATGGGAATGAGGGGGCATATACCAATAGGAAGGACTGACTTTCTACACGCTGTATGTAAGTGAGAGAGTGGATATAAGCAGTCTATACACACACGTACATTATATATGAATGGGTTTGTAAATGTACAGGAAGCCTAGAGGCACATAACCCCCATCCCACCTTTAATTATTACCTGTGAGAATAAAACCAAGGGTGGAAAAGGAGTTAAATGAGGGGATTACTTTTTATTGATAAAACTTTTACATGTTCAAATGCTTAATTAAAACATGCCATTTTATATATAAAAAAGACATAAAAAGAAATGACTCTCACATCTCTTTGTGGCTAGTGTTAGCGAATTTGCTTAGCGAACACAACAGAAAGTAGGCCTTTTAGTTTAAATACTTCTCGGAGAATTAGGACTTTTGCAAAACACATGGCCTTTTGCTTCTTTTCTGCTGTAATTTATTCTTTCCTCATGCTATTAAAGGAGATAAGGTTATCAGAGCTTATGATTTATAGGAAGGTTCTGCAGAAGGAAAACTGATGCGAATGACCAGGTGGCTGAGTGAAGACACTACAGCTCAGGACAAAAACACATGCCATTTCCCCAAACAGCCTGGAGGCCCCAGCCAGTTCTGTGTCACCATAAATATCCTGTCTCCTTCTGATGATCAATTTCCTCAAAGAAGTATAACCTCAGGTGTCACATGTTAACACAAACTTTTCCTGACCCCAGCTATAGCAGGAGGTGGGGGTGGTACATGTCTAGCATATTACAGGTGCAAGAGTAGGTTACCACTGGAAAGTCCCCAGAGAGCAAACATTTAGGATGTATATTTGCAAATAAAAACAAGGTCACAAGAGGTACACATGAAGAGGAAGCTTCCTAAGATGAAGTGTGTATTTGCCACACCAGACCAGCACCTTGACCACTGGGTACCACTGAAGGGCTAGGAGCACAGTATTTGGTTACCCTACTGAGGCTGGTTCTAGACAGGCCTTTGGATCACTGTATGTGTTCTGGAAAACAGAGAATCTTGTCTTCTTCATGTATTAATTTGTCCTGGAATTTTCTATAAATTCATTTATGTGTGTGTGCACTCACACGTGTGTGTTTATATGAATCTGTGCATATGTGTGCGCGAGTGAATTAGGTCAGAGAAGATAAGATTTCTCACTGAACCTGGAATTCCAGTCCGTATCCCCCTGTCCTACACCTCTCTGATAGAACGGGAGCCAGCATGCCCCAGAGACCCTCCTGTCTCTGCTTCTGCAGCACTGTGGTGACAGGCTGATATGGCCATCCCAGGCTATTTACATGGGTTCTAGAGATTCAAACTCAGACCCTCATGCTTGTGTGGAAAGTCCTCTTACCAACGGGGCCATCACCCTAGCCTTTCAATCTGGATTCTAAAAACTTAATGTCTGTGCAAAATATTAGGACTAAGCCTGCTATGTAAACACATCTCATACACGCATGGGATGTAAATCAATATCTGTTATATGTGGAAACCAGATAACATAAGGACTCAGCTCCCCACTAGGTTCTGTCATTTGCAAAACCAAAGGGAAATGAGAAGAAAAATCATGGCATTATGGTTGCTGAAACTTGGATCTTAGATGCCCATTCACTAAAGTTTTAGTCCTTAGCTTGGGTCTACTGGAAATGCTGTAATGTAAAAAGGAGCGGGGCCTAGTATGAGACCTTGCAGTCATTGGGGGCATGCCTGTGGGGAGGATGGGACCCAGACCTCTTCCTCTTCCTTAATCTCATTCCTAGGCTACAGTGGGAGTGAGTTGTGTACATATGTGTTGCCACCATGATGTGTAGCCTGGTCATAGGCCCCCAAGGCAGTGAAGGCAATGAAACATCCACTGGAATCTCTGAATTTGAGTGAAAGAAAGGTTCCTTTCCTTCTTTATAGGTTCATTATCTCAGAGATTTGTCTGACTTCACAGTAATTACTTGGGGAGCCAACCAAAACTTGATTCTCATTGCAAGTTCTAGCTTCTGAAAATTTCCTTTCTATCCTAAGTATTGCCCTGTGATCATGAAGAAACACATGTTCTCACACTGCCTACCCTCAGCTATTTGTCCAGGACACAGAGCTTGCTTTTTGGCCCCCAAAAAGGAACAAAAAAGAGAACTGTAATATAGCCCTTCAGAATGATTCAGACTCCATTGAAAGGAAGAAAAAAAAAGAGACCTCATTTTAGAATTTTAAAAATTATTTATTTTTTTATTTTATGTGCATTATATGTCTGTGTATGTATGTCTGTGTGAGGATGTTAGATCCTCTGGAACTGGAGTTACAGACACTTGTGAGCCACAATGTAGGTGCTGGGAATTGAACCTGGGTCCTCTAGGAAGAGCAGCCAGTGCTCGTACCACTGAGCTTTCTCTCCAGCTCTCCAAAACTTTATGCACTATGATTAGTTTGGGTATTCTTAAAAGACAACTAAGTCATAAACTTTCTCAGGAAAGTCTAGACACCTATAGTCTGATCCAGCTATATCTTCTGTCCTCAGGACTCTATCATAGCAGTAAAAGAGCAGATGTGAGGGAAGCAGAAGCAGTTATTAGAGAATTTCCTGCTAAACCACATTCAAAAATAAATAAATTGTGACACAATCCAGCTGCCATGAAATTTACCCAATTGAGTATTCTCAATATGCAGAATTAAATCTTATCTACCTACCTTGTAAACTGTCGACTCTCTTCATGAACTTCCATTTCTGTGCTTTTAAATTCATTTAGTTCTTTCCTTATTGCTGCCTAAACAGGAGAAAATGGAGCAAAATTTAAGTAACATATTTTCCCAACCTATATAGCATCTACAAGGCAGATATCCTATGACATAATATTGTGGGGGAGACTGAAATACTCTCCATCATGCCTTGTTCACTTTTAACTCTCTAAAACTGAAAGCTCATGGCAAATCTGCTGCTGACTGCCTCTGGAATCACTGAGACCAATAATAACTATGCCACAGATATGGGGAAGGACCCTCTTACCCTTAAAGGGAATGGCCCAGACCCAGTTCCCTTATGGGGCCGAGGATTGATATGCCTGTTTGATACCACAGAAGGCACAGCTAACCGGTTACCAAAAAGATTAATGAAATAAATAGATACCCCCACAAAGCCAGGCCCAACCATAAATAAGATGAATAACAATTTACATCAAGGAAAGGGAAATCTCCCTGAGAATTCCCTTCTTTTTCCTTTCCAGGTAAAAATGAATCACCCATGATGTCTGCTGTTAGAAGTTCTAATCCAGATGCTGGCCTCTGAACTTATACTACTCAGACCTTCGAAGGGCCATTGATAAGAAAGAACATCAATCAGCTAGAGATTGACATCACTAATCTGAAGAAATCCCTCAATTTGCTGTCTGAAGTGATCTCCAAAAATTGCAAAGATCCTTATTAGACTTGATTACTCTATTACAATAGAAAAGGCTGTGTACAGCTCTTGACTGTGCACAGCCCTTAAAGAAGAATGTTGCTTTTACAGAGACAAGACAGGGACAGTTAAAGAGAGCATGGAAAAAGGTCAGAGAAGGCCCTGAGAAAAGACAGAGAGAGAAAGAGAAAGATGAGAGCTGGTATAAGAATTGGTTTTCAGCCTCTCCATGGTTGTCAATCCTACTTCTTCCCATCTTGGGATCATTATTTGGGTTATTTTTGCTTACTTATGCTGGTCCCTGGGCCTCAAATAGGCTGACTAACTCTGTGAAATATTGTGGGGGAGAGAAAAATAATCACTAATGTATCCCAGATTAAGATTTAATAAATGAAACGTGTTACAGTGTAAAAAATTGGACATTAGAAAATCTTCAAAATCTGAGGCTTTCTGAGCTTCAGTGTGACGCGCAAGTGGAAAAGTTTCATACCTGACCTCATGTGGCAGTTGCAAAGTAAAGGCATGGTAAAAACTCATAAAATGACCTTCAAGATGTGTGCAGGGCGTATGAACAGGAATGAATTCTTTATGCAGTGGTGGGGGCTGAGCCCAGGCCTCATGCATACCAGGAAAGTGTTCTCCTACTGAGCCAGACTCCCGGCCCCATGAATTTTGTGTGTAGACATGGTCCTCATACCTCAGCTATCTCATCTTGTTATGTCCTTGCAAATATTCCAAATTCTGGAAATTCTCCTGAACCAGAAACACCCTTGGTCATGCATTTCAGAGGAGGGACATTCAGGTGAAGGCCAAACTAGAGCCAGGGCAGCCTCCCCCAAGAGTGGGTAGGGCGGCGTCAGGGTCCTCAACAGACTCATTGTCATGTCTAGTCTGTGTGTCATACAGAATGTCCTTCCACCCTCTGATGACCACAGAAGACGTGACGCATGTAGGGTTTTCAGAGAATCCATATTTTGTTCCCAGGAAAGTTTTACATTGAAGCCTGCCTGCCCACCACAACATAGCTTTGATTTGCTGCCACAGGGATGCCAAGGAGGCTGTTGCTATTTATTTTTTTCATGTCGAAAGTTTAGACAAACAGGGCTGAAAATTCAGCACAGCATTTAAAGCCACTCAGAGAAAAAAAATCAAATGGAGGCCTTATTTAAAGAACATATAATCCATGCCATGTACAACAAGATGCTTATGCATGCAGACTGGAAAGCAGAGACACCCCTCCAAATGCTAACTTTGGCTGTCTGTTAACAGACAGTGGCAGGATTATGCATGGGTTTAATTTTAATTTCTGTCTTATTTTTATTTCCTATTTTCCTACAAAGGCTACTTCACTCATATAAAAAGTACTAAAAAATACAAAACCTCCACATCTTTATAAACTCTATGCAGATTGCACCGTTCAGACAAAACACAGATTATTGTAAATATTTTTCATGCAAAGAATGTTTTCCCTCATATAAAACGAAAAGTAGACATGAAATATTCTATGACAGCTATGCTAAAGGGACTGACTCCAGTTAAACACAGAATGCCAATGTAAACCACAGGAAGTGCTTTCCAGAGAGATAGGGAAATCTACTCTGTGGCTGAAAGTCAATGAACTTTGGAAAATGTAAAAGATAGAGGAAAGCCCAAGGACCCCTTGGTGGTCCTCTCCCACCATGAACCATCAGTGTAGTTTACAGGCTTCCCTTTCAAGGGTATTTTAATGTGATAATTAAGCCCTGTTGTTACAGACTGTCTCCTTTCCCCAGATATATTCTGTAGGTCTGGAAGTTTCTTTGGAGGATCCTGGGACAGTGATTAATTCTTATTACTAATTTTTGGAAGTGCTAAAGCAAGCAGAGACCTATTTGTGGGCCAGAGTCCCCTGTGACACAGAAAGGCTGCACATCTCACCAGTCATAACAATGTGCACACACACTTGGTTTTGGCCATAGTAACAACTGGCACAGGAGCCAGGAGCCAGGCAGTTGCTCAAATGAAGTTTTAGAAAAAGTTCCTCCTTGAAAAGAAGTGTTTCAGTACAAATAGGGCAGAGAATTCCAACTCTGTTCACTTAAAAATTTCTTCTTTACAGAAAAGTTTCTAGCAGAGGCCTTATGAAGAGCTGCAGCAGACACAGAAGACATAGCCTTAGTGCTCCATGGCATTGTGACACGGAGTAGCTTTCCTTCTAAGCCCCAGCTTTCCTCCTGCCAGAGTTCTGATGAGTGTCACCTCTCATCCGTGTGGTTCATTGTTCAGAGAGGTAGTGCTCCAAGTGCTGTGAACATTTAACAGGCAGGGTCTTATGACAGCCATGTCTTTAGGTCACTGGGGGCATGTCTCTCAAGAGATTCTTAGACTATGCTCTATCTTCTCTTTGCTCTTTTGACTCATCATGGAAGGGGCCCCAACCATATAATATCTCCACTAGCGGCCCTAGACCTTGATTACTTAAGACTTTTATAGTCAGACTGTGAATCAAACCTTCTCTACTTAAAAGTTAACTGCTTTAAGGATTTTTTTAAAACAGTGACAGGAAACCAGCTAACATACCCACCTAGAAAATAGCAATGGAAATTCATGCTGCAATTAAATAATAGTTCAAAGAGTAATTTAAAAATGTGTTGAATACTGTAGAGTCACCACTGAAATATCATGAAGCTTTAAAACAAAACGTAATTTGGGCTTGTGACTGACAGTTCTTTGATTGTTATTACAGAAAATTTGCTGGAATGCAAGAGGATACTGGTGAAGGTAAGTTGAATTAAACAAGACCAAGGACTTACTGGTGGTCATGAGCTAGCTACCAGTTGAAGAGTATGGTAAAACCCAACATATTCATAGATATATTCAGAGAGAAACAGTTGGGATATGGAGTTTCTAAGTTAGGACAACTACAAATTGTGCCCCATGCACACAATACAATTGATACCCCTCAAGTGCCCCATGCACACAATACATGGTCTCAATAAGGCCCACCTTCATTCTATCAGTTTTGACTTTGGAAGAAAGATTTCTCAGGGGTGCAAAAGAGGAAAATGAAAACCTTCTGTATTAACAAGACACACAGGGTATAAACATAACTTTTGCCTAATTTTAGCCCTAATACTCTCTATTTAAGTGTAACTGAGGCTGGTTTTGTTGAATGATAGAGAAGATGCATTGTGGTGGTGGGACTGGAGCCATTGGTCCTGGGCTGGACGACCTATGGTGAACCACTCAGCTGAAACTAATCTCTAAGAGGACTGAGGCAACAACCCCAAATAGCAGGGAGCTGCACTGAGACCACATGCACGGTGGTGTTTGGGATCATGGGAATTAAACACAGGACATACAACCGACTAAACCTAAGTTGAAATATGGCTAGTAAATCAACTTTTCCTTGTCTAATCAGCCCTGGCCAGTTTGGGGGCATTTCTTGGCAAGAAGCATCAGGTAATTTGTTGAAAACACAGCACTTGCAGCCTTCTGAAACGTGAGTGAAGAGCTAGCTAGAGTTTCCACTTGATATCTTTTATTTCTCTGCTAAATGCAGCTATCAAACATGAGTGGCTTGCTTGCTGACTCATTAAGGTTTTTGTCATGGAGAGTGAAGTGTGCACTCTGTGACCCAGCTAATGACATTCAGATTGAAATTCTAATCAGTATTTTAAATTTCAATCCAATTTGGGTAACTAAAGTGAAATCACTTATGGGCTCTAAATAATATTTGCATTTGTTTTTCTTTAAAAATATAAGCTTTCCGTAATTTTAATTTTCACTATTTTTTTTAAATGGGACATAGAGATCAATACTTAAAAAATTCAAGGTAATTTTAAGCTACATTTGTTTATTTTTGTGTATGTGAGCCTATCTGGTGTTTGCATAGGATGCTGCATATGCCATGACAGACATGTGGAAGTTGGAGGCAAACTTCCTTCCATTCTGTACATCCCGGGGACCACATCGGCTGTCAGACTTGGTGGCAAAGAGTTTTACCCACTGTGCTATCTCATTGGCCTCATAACCTAATTCTTAATACAATAGTTAACTCATACTTAATGAATTCTATACCAATTAACTTAATGAAGCAAATACATTATTTAGAAGCTGACCAATAGGTGTCATGAAGTATCTTAAGGTAAAGGTAATAAAAAACATCTTTATTTTTTTTAAAGCTGTGATGACAATTAGCATGCTATTTTCATCCTTACATAACATGATTTTAGCATATGGGCCATATTTCTTTATACATACGTGTGTGTGTGTGTGTGTGTGTGTGTGTGTGTGTGTGTTTGCACGTGCTCAAGTGCCCTCGTTGGGCATGAACTAAAGCCTAAAGTTGACATCAGGAGGTCTCAAACACCCTCCACATCATTTCTTGAGACAGGATATCCCAATGAACCTGGAGCTCACTGTTGCAGCCAGACCGTCTGCTCAGCATCTTGGGGATCCATTATCTGTCCCTGCCCCTTGGTGCTGGGGTTACAAATATGTACAAGCACACTCAGCTCTCTTACACAGGGCTCTAGGATCCAGACTGTAGTTTTTATGCTTGCTGGGCAGTTCTTTACCTACAGATCCAGCTTCTTAGCTCATGTATACATGTATATTTGCAATTGTGGAAAATGACTTAATTTCTTTCAGTGTTATGTAGAAAATCATATTTTTAACATTCATAAAAATGCAATGCCTTGATTTGAATTATCATTGTTGATTTTTCCCGTTTGTGATCCTGGATATTCAGCGATTTGACAACAAACGCACACTACTTGCATGTACAAAACACTGCATATAAACAGAGCACTTACATGTATAAAACATGCTAAATGCAAACATGCTCAATTTTTGGATTTTTCTGTTTTCCATTTTCTACCTTTAAAAGTATCCCTTTTTTTTGTCTAAAATTCTTACTTTTGGAAAACACACTTTCTTTTCTCCAGAGAACACTGACACAATAATAATACAGCCCTAAAAATGTTGTCCTTCAGACCTTAACACACCTCAGGATAGATATGTGAGATTTCTGAGAGCGAGCGAGCCTCCCCTGTAAGTCAGGAGGGACTCTGGCGCTGCTCTAGAGCTAGGATCAAGGGAGATGTGAGAATTCTATTTCTTCAGAGAACTCCAGAACAGAAACCATGCTTGCATGCTTACAGAAGAAAACCTGACCAGGCTCAGCATCCTGTGGTTAACAAGCCCGGCTTCCTCTCAGTTCAAATGATCTTAAAAAGAAAAATCTGTGCCCACTATGGCTGGAGATGGATGAGTTCTGCTTCTTACAACAGGGCAAAGTTAAGTAAGGGCTACTCAGGGAGTGCAAATTGAGTTACACATAAGGGTGGTTAGTAGGTTATTTAGATAGATACTCGTGTGTTTTCCACCATCTATAGATGCCACTGTTTATGTGGCCTGTCTAAAGGTTAGTATTTGAATAATCAGGTGGCCGCTAAAGGTTGTAGCAAATCGTAATTTTCTAGGATGGCAAGATAACACCTCCAGTCTGCATAATCTGACCTCACTGCTCCCTACCAAGAGGCAGAACTATCCATCTCCTTCTCCTCAGCCCAGCTGAGTCCACATCCAAGCCAAGGCAACTGTGACACAAAAACAAGTTGGAGAGACAATCTTGGATCGTTCAGGGTAGCCTGATCACCAGGGGGATAACACTGAGTGACCTTGGCCCACCTCATGGAAAGCAGAATTGTTCAAGTGACGCTTGACTATATTCCAACCTACAGAATCTATAAGATACAACAAAACTGTCTCTGCTCTTCATCACTAGGCTTAGGGGTGGCTCAATGCATAGGGACAGTGGCTGCAGCAGTGTTAACTAGAAGCCATGGAAGGAGAAAGAGCAATGTAAGCCCATAGCTGAAAGCAGATTAACTGGAACAAATGGACTTCTTGTGGTATGCTTGAATAGGGACTGGTTACATGGCAACTAAGGACTAGCTTTTTCTGAGACCCAGTTGAAAGAACTGTACTGCTATTACTCTACATGACATACAAGCGTGCAGGTGTTCTAAGAGAGAGAAAGGTGCTCAGATGAGTAGGAGGAGGATGAGTATGTAGGTTTTGGAAGCACAAAAGTCATTCTGAGATTCTTGCCTTGTCTGCAGGTGTCAACCTGGCCCAGGGCTTGTCTGCTCGGCGGTCATAGTCCGGGGAATCTGTCACTTCTACATACTCATTAAACCGCAGGATCCTTCGGGCTTGTAGCTCTGCCACGGTAGGTCTTAGGCTGAGCTGCAGGAGGGTAGTGGGGAAGACAGAGATCAGTTGCACGTTTTTACAGCCTCTAGGTGGCAAGTTTTCTGTCTGGAACACTTCAAAGTTAAGGTCACTTTCAGGTATTAAAAGAGAAGCAACAGCATCTTGGGAATTCATAATGAGACCTAGAAAGCAGCATGCCCTCATTTCCAGACTAGAAAATCATCAGTGCTAGCTAGCTAGCTAGGTCAGCCTTTGGTAACTGTCTGCATCATTTGATTCCCTACAACATATCTGACACTGAGATTAAGGCTTGCACATCATCTCAGACAGCAATACAGAGTGACAAAGGCCCACCAGTAACACAGCTCTAGGATCCCTGTGGAGGCAGCTGACAAATAAAGACAAAAGCTATGGATCTTCCAGAAAATGGAAATAAGTCTCTATTCCAGGCACATGGAGAAATGCACTGGCCCAGAGAAAGGCACAGCTACAGAATGGCCTTCCTGGGGAGACAGGCAGATGAGGGAGGCTTCCTGGGGGACAGTCCTTTCTGCAACTGTTCTGACTCTCTTGAGTCCTCTGTACCATTCAAATGTATTGCTATATGTAACCTGGCCAGCCCTGGGGGGTCTTTGCTCTTCTCTCTTTCCCCTTTCACAAGCACCAAGAATAAGATTGGGATAATTTCAACACTTGAGAGAAACTCAGATCCAGCCGATGCTCACCCATGTGAGTCAGGACACACATTCAAGTACGGTGTCACCCTGCCCTTCTCCAGGTATGGAAGGCACAACTGAGAAACCATTAGAAGGCTTTATAATGGAATATAAACTCTGATAGTGCTTAACTTCTCCAAAGGCTGTAATTTTAAGCACAGGGGGGTAAAAGGGCCACGGTCCTAGGATCAGGTTTGTATCTCTAAATATGTGGAAATGACAGCCTAAGTTCCAGTGATAAGCCATTTGTCAATTTTGGTAACACTGGTCAAATTCACTCAATAATTACTCATCCAGGTCTGCTACAGGACAGTGACAAATTGTTAGTAGTCACAAAATACTTATTTAGTATTTCCAAGACTAAATGGAAAGTGCGAACACTTTAAAATCCAATTAAAGACATAAATATATATGAAAATGTTAATGTTGGCTCTCTAAATGGAAGATTTGTGTGTGACACTTTCTTTTTCTGTTCCTATTTGTATTTAAACTTTCTTTTCACTTAAAATACACATATTCATAATTGGTAAATGCAATGTACAAGCTTCATTAATTTTTCAAAATGAACATAGCATGCAAATACAAAGTAACTGATTTACACGCATTGCTGATTTGAATGACTTGAATCGTACTGTGGCGTACTAGGAGCAATCATCCCTAAACGTCCCACTCACGAGTTCTGAGTGGGTTTGCCTCTAACAAAAATAAACTGGCTCCCAGAACACGCATGCTCATTAGCAGTCATGACGTCATCACCTTCCGGCTGAGCCTCCGTTTAAGTTCCATTTTCGCTTCTTGCTCCTCTTCTTCGTTCTTTTCTGTTTATTAGGGGAGGCATAAGAACAGTTACTAGAGATAAGCGTATAATCAGAAAAGTCTACCAGGTCTGGCATATGCTGATCAAACATGCCATCACCTTAGAAATGTATCCAAAGGTTCTTTAGCAGGGGTGCTCATACCCACGTTATATATGTGTGTATATGTAACAGTATCTTTCTTCGTAATGGAACTGGTAAACTTTCTGCACTGATTTTAAACCTTTTTTACCTTCAGATTTCTTGTTCTATGTCCATACTATTGCTGACCACTTCATGGTTTTAGAAATACAATCTACCATAATTCAGATAAAAATTTACTTCTGGATCTGTGTTTCCTGGGAAAAATCTGGGACACACTAAAAGAACAAATTAGAACCATTCAACGCACGTCCTAGCTGCTGACTTCCACTCAAACCCAACCAAAATATTTGGTTTGTCTTCCTATGTTTCCATAGAAGCAAAATGTAAGCATTCCTTGGGACTTGGCTTTCAAACCAACGTTCTGAATGGGGTTATGTTGTACTGTGGGTGGGAATTATTTATTTTCTTGTGACTTTAACTTTCCAAAGTCATCTTTTTTTTTCTCTAGTGCTTCATCAAGTAGTGCAATTCCATGCAGTCCAAACAGACAGGATTGGGAAAAAAAAAGTTCAGAATTTTAAAAGAAATAAACAGTTTTCAAGGATATATGGTATGCATATTTGAAGAGCATCTGTCTGTTGCTTCTTGTATCTCATCTGTGTTTAAGTAAAGCAATGATTTTACTTCATGGTAAAATACATGCCAAGGCTTATATTCTTGGGACTCTAATGAAGAAAGACTGCGCTATAGACGGGATCAACTGAAAGCTTCAGGAAATTTTTCTTCTATGTAAAGGCTTTATTTAATATATCTATGAGCATGCGTGCGTGCGTGCGTGTGTGCGTGTGTGTAGGTCAGAGGACTTTGAGTGTCATCATTTGCTGCAATCTACCTTGGTTTTTAAGACAGTCTTTCTCACAGAGACGGAGGCTTCCTCATCAGGTTGGGGTGTCTGGGGAGAGAGCCCCAGGACTCCACCTGTCTCTGCCTCACCAGCATTGAGATGGTCAACACATCCCGCTACGTACACCCAGGTTCAGGTCTTCTTGCTTGCATCACAATCGCCTTACTCATTAAGCAATTTCCGCAACCCTAAAATGTACTTACTGTGAAAATTCAAATGGACTTTTCACATCAAGGTCATTGGTGTTACGAGTATAAAGCCAGTATTGAACATGAACAAGAGCTGGAGGATTTGCTCACTGACCCCACCACATTTTCTATACATTTTTTCTTCTCTGGATATAATGAACTTTCTGTCTTCTTCTGAAATACATCTTTTAATTTACAAGGAAGAAGATGATCCCTGTCGTTATATCCAGCAATACAAACAGAAATCACCCTTCAGACGAGAGACACTTCAAGTTCCTTCATCAAATTAATTTGATTCTACATCAGATTTCTTATGAATGAACTGTAAGCCTTGCTGATTGCTTCACAAAACCAAGTCTCTCTATCTCCTTAAAATGTACACAAAGGGCCAATTACTTAATGCGAATTGGATGAAGCTTGTGAATTGTATTATATATATTGGACAAATTCCAAACTTCTTATAAGAACTGTATTTAAAAGAAAAATATAACCCTTAAAAATGATTTTAGTCACTTCTTCCCATATGCCTACCATGCTTTCTTTCTTTTTTTTTTTTATAAAAGCTACACCTTTAAAAAAATTAAGTTTATTCATTTTATTTTAGGAGTGTCTTGCCTACAGTTTGTATTTGTACGCCATGTATGCGTGTGGTGTCCACTGAGGTCCAAAGAAGACATTGAATGTCCTGGGTGTGAGGTTGAAGATGACTGTGTGCTGCCACAGGAATGAGGGGAATTGAACCTGGGTCTTCTGCATGAGCACCAACTGCTCTCAATTGCTAAGCCATCTCTGCAGGGCCCCACTTCCCATGCTTCATTTCTTAATGACATTTCTTGCAAATACACACACACACACACACACACACACACACACACACACACACACAAAATCCCAAATGTTTTCATTCTTTATGTAAAATGTCATTTCTTTGAAGGGAATATTAGTTTTACCATTTAAGGATGTTGTCCAACAAGGTGACAGCCAGTGACATCTAAGAAGGGAAGAGCTGATTTCAGTTAGGCAATTTAAGTAAACAGCATTTTACGATCTGGGAATTCTTCCCTGACATCAGGAACTGGCTTTTAATATTTCCCACGTTTGATTGATACTTCTAAAGTGGGTGAGGGATGGAGGTGGCTGCCATGGAGTAGCCTCTGAGTCTTTGCACAGTGGTACAGGTCAAGGGTATATCTTGACATTGGTACCTAAATACTCAGTGAGGTGTCCATTTAAGGTACATCATTTCCTCTAGCTATTGATTAATTAGCAGACTAACGATGCAGTGTGATGTAAACTGCCTGGGGCGTTGGGATGGATTGAAGGGTTTCCATGGAGGAAATGACAGAGCTCTTGGTCAGTGTCTTGCATCAGAGTGGAGGGGTGCTGCCTCAGACAGCCACAGGGAAGCGTGTGAAAAACACACCATCAATATGTGTGCTTTAAAGGTGGTGGGCACAGCAGAAAACTGCCTGGATGGTCAGGGTGGCCCTGAGGTTGTATGAATTAGCTAAGAGTAGAGGGAAAAAGGAGCAAAACCAACAACGAGCAGCAGTACTCAGTTGAGTCACTGACTGGGATAAAACAAACTGGGCTTCCTTCCACATATGTTCTCTGTGGTTCTGTTGATCTTTTTGCTGTTCTATGTGTTTCTATGTGGGTGTTTTTTTGTTGTGTCTTGTTTTGCTTTACTTAAAAATTTTATTTATTTATTGTGTGTTAGTGTTCATAAACACACTGCCATAGCACACATGTGGAGGTCAGAGGAAAACTTGTGGCAGTAGATTGTGTGGGTCTTGGGGATTGTATTCAAGTTGTCAGATTTGGTGGCAGTGCTTTGACCTGCTGGGCCATCTTACTGACTCCACATAGGTATTTTGAACAGATGAAAATATGTTTATAAACTTTTGAAGTGCATATATATATATATATATATATGCATATGTTAATATATATTTAGGTATTTTCACCAAATGAAAATACATTTATACACTTTTGAAATGTATGTATGTATTTATCAACACACACACACACACATATTAATATATATGTTAAAAACTTGAATCAATGGCTATATGAAGAATAAGGATGTCAACAGAATATGGATGGATGGCGACATGTGGTTAGTGGACTTCTGTAAAATTTCATCATTTTTTTTTGTAGGTGTAAAAAATTTTTACAGTTAATTGTTGAAGGAAAAGATTCAGAACTCGGTGGCCTGGGTTAATTTTTTTCTTCTCTGTGGAAAATACATTTAAAATGACACTCACGGCTGAACATGAGAGCAATGCATTCGGCCTCGGGTCCTGTGTGGAGAAGCTCATAGCACTTTTCCTGATCAGCCAGAGTTGACTTCTCTGGTTGGGAAAGATAAGGGACATGATACTAAGACATCAGCTTTGTCTCATGTCCTTACAGAGAAGCTATTGGCATTTATTGAGGTATTTCATAATCTCAGCCGTAGTTATGAAAGTGATGGGCTGGGATTAAAGAACTGTTGACTATTTTATGCTTTGAATCACCTCAGCCCCCAACAGGTGACCTTAAAAACCATATTGTATCACAGAGAGAGTTTTCTGGTGTCTTCATTTAGATATCCTTGCTACTTTTGAACAGAAACTAGAGATGAAATATCTGAGCAGAAAGAGGAAAATACAGAAGAGTACAGAGGTAAAGGATTGAGCAAATTGTTTGTGGTCTAAGCTCAGTGGAAAGAACCTCCCCAGCTCTGCCTGCTTCCCTTGGCCTCTATCATGGGGTTGGGAGCCAGTTATCTGCCTCTCCAGACTGGAAATGGATCTCCCGTTTCCAGAATCAACACGAACTTAGAAGGAAGTAAAACAGGGCTAGAGTCAAGACGAAGTTGACTTTGGTCCTTCAATCTTTCCCGAACCTCCAGGAAAACAGAGGGTACAAAAGCCAACACAGCATTTAAGATCAACATGCAATAAATTTCCGGATCCATGAAAGAGTTCCTCAAATAACTTAACTCCACTGTGGCTTGGCACATCAGTCCCAAAGGACAGAATTACCCAGAATTTGCAAGGCCCTCTTTTCAAAGTACCTCATCAGCCATCCAGTAAGACATACCCTTTGTCCACACAGCAGCTCACAGTCTACCTTTGAGCTTAAAGTTTAACTTAGTGATTATGTCCCAGGAACTCGTCAGGGAAAACATTGATACCTATGGGTTTGTTTTCCTGTCAACATTAGATGTTGCTAAAGTGAAAACACACTCTTCTTTTGTAGCCACAGCCACGTTGTCTTTCAGACAGGCATTTCTGCACATTAGTAGGCACTCTGAGGGGATCTGTTCAAGCTATGCTCACAAATAACCAGAAAAAGCACAGCGGGAGAGATATGCCGCAGACTAGGTGGTTGGTCCTTCTTGTACTGGCTAAATGTTCTTCAGTGAGCTGTTTCAGTTATGGCAACAGTCCTATAAATATACTACAGAAATCTTTCTTTCCTTTAGAAAAGAAAATAAGTCATATTAGAGTGGGGTTGTCCAGCAGGCTGACTGTACTCCACCAGCTTGGTTGAAAGGATGTTCTCATACCAGTGGCTTAGCTATTATAGTGCTGCCAGGGATTCTGAACATTCCCATCCTTTGAGAGTTCACAAAATAAAAAGCTCCTTTGGACCTAGGTTAACATTTATAAGTTCAGCTAGACTCTGCCTTTAAACTCACTGAAGTTAGTGGATATCCTGCGAGAACAGCAGGAGACTGTGTTTCCAGTGGGATCTCCCACACTTAGCCTCCAGCAATCAGAATGGAAAAACAGAGTAGGGCAATGAATGGAGAACTCTTTAGGTTTCAAGAAACCACAAAGAATCCAAGAAAGAAGAGGAGTTATCACAACAGAGGAAAATGAAATGCCTTGCAAAACCCCTCTTGCCATAATTTAAATTGGGACATTTGCTCAACCTAGCAACAAACTGTATTATTATTCATAACAATATAGGGATGTTTGATTGATTTCCTTGTGGATTCCTTCTCTGGCAGTTATTTGAGTAGACTAGAGCATTTGCTTTAATATTTGAGCAAAAAAACACATGGGATACATTTCTTTCTCAAACATAATTACTGTGAGTAGGGTTCCACTTTAGGGGACACTAGGCTTAAAGCCATAAAAATGAAATATGAAAACCAAGAAATTATTTTTTAGATATGTACACATCTAACTAATGTATGTGACATACATGGGCCATTTCAGGCAGCTGTGAATCATGTTTCCCTCCTGTTGGACAGGCTGCCTCTGGGGTATCTTATTACTGATCACCCGAAAGATCACAGTGTAGCATCATATACTCACGTTTTAAGATGTTTCTTTGCTCTAATTCTTCTGTTGTTGGCCTCTGGCTGAGTCTCCTACAAGGACAAAGTGAACAATATACACTACAGGTTACAAAATAAATACACCTTAAATTACAAATGAGGCCCGTTGGGTGGAAGATACAAACAAAACAGCGAAGCTAGACTGTCATATATTAAGAAATAAACCTAAAAATTTAAGCCTGTAAGATAAATTTCTCCGTTCGATCTGTTTAGACACTACTGAGAGTGGCTTAGACTTCTGACTCTCTCCCCTTCACTCATCCCTGAAAGACAGGCATCTGACTTTGGTTGGGTACATGTCTACAGATCCTGGATTCCCTAGCAGCCCAGTGTGGGATAGGACATGAGCAGAGTGAGCTTTTAAAGTTGTTTTTCCCCCTTGACATAGATGAGTGTGTGGTCCCTGTTCTCCACGTCCTTCTTGAACTGGCTACACTTGAACATGGTGTTATGAGCCAGCTTTGATCTTACAGATGAGATTCTCCAGGGGCATAAGAAATTAATAAAGCAGAAGGAGTTTGGCTGTTAGGCCTCTGTGGAGAAAGAAGGAGAAACTCTATCATGCTGGGTGGCCCGGCTTCCTCTAGACTGCCCAGTAAGAAAGGAATCAACATACATTGCTTGGACTCCTGGATCCCTGGCATGTTACAGCAGCTTAAGCGATAGCTTACTTAATTAATGTACAGCGCACTGGTGCCTCAACTCAGCTGCTGTTGCAAAGTTCACGCCAATATTATGAGTTGCTCAATCTATGCTGCTCAGGGTTTGAAGGGAAATCCTGTGTCAGGCCCTGCAAGTTATCTTAAGCTATGTGGCTCCCTCTTCCCTGCTGTTGAGATAAGCCAGGCTCATCCAGGATTAGTAGCTAACTGCTTTACATGAGAGCAGAAACTCCTAGAAACTCCTTATAGCCTTGTTCTTGTTTACATGATTAATTTCTTGTTAATTATAGTGAAAGATTTCCTTGGAATGTATGCTGAATTTGTGTAAATTATGATGAATATACACACAGAGGTGTCTGACTTTAACCTGCTGTTTTCTTGACATACCTAACTCTCAATGGTAGAAACATGTCAAACCAGTGATCATTTCAGAGCTTGCTCAAATTTTCCTTGAAGTTAGATCTCCCTTGGGACTACTTTGAAATTAAAATGAGTTACAGAGTCCACACAAGGCCCAAGGTAGCAACTGTAGCTATGCATCTGGAGTCCATGCCCCGACTATACTGTGTGCTATGAGCGTGCACTGCCAGTGTACTGGAGTCTGTCATGCCCAGGTGTGCTAGCTCTCTCTTACTGGTGGAATGTTCTTTTCTTTTTCTACCTTCACCAACCAAAGACCGAGCCCCCTTGCCCCCAGCACATACATTATTGTAGATCTTTTCCTTCTTACATATGCCTCCCAGATAGAATTATTATTCAAAGACATAGCTTTATAATTATTTTATTATAGCATTCAACTGTTTCAAAAATACGGATTGAAAACAATGTATGCTGATTTCCAGTAAACTCAGGCTTAGTTTTTATTGTGCTTCACTAGTTTATTAAGAGTATGCAATTTAAGTTAAAAGTAAATATGTAACTTTACTGGATGCTTGTCATGGTCCAGGTAGTAAGAGTCTTAAATATAAGAACTCTGTTTTATGAGTGGCATCAAGCAGTGGGAATCTTCTATCTTGTAAATATATTTCTGCCAGTAGCTTTTTCAGTTCTAAATAAGCTCACATCCAATTAATCAACAATTAATTAATTAATTCTTTCAGGCATGCATGCATTCACTCATTTGTTTGTTTTTAGTGCTTATGACAAACGGAGGGTCTTACATTTGCTAAGCTGTCACTTTACTACTGGACTCCAACCCAGCCCAGACTTGCTGACTGTGACTAGTTCTCCCTCACTAATAAGCATATCGAAGCCTCAGACATCTTAAAAATGTGCTATGGAGGGGTCCTTCATTCCGCCTCAGTGGATGTTCCTTTAGCTCACATTAGAAGAGGTGATCCTTGTCCTTGTTTCCATTGATAAAATCAAAAACCCATCAAAGGCTCTGATTCTATCCAACACATCCACTTTCCTCAAATGTCGAGCTGGTGGCACAGCGGATCAACCTGTCTGATGAATTCTTCTCACTGCTAAAATGTTTACTGTCTCTCTAAATTCATCCCATCCACTATGGTAGTCCGTGCAGGAAATGTTTTGAGCCTCAGGTTAAACAGTTGGTTATTTAAAATGGCTGCTGAGAGAACAGTGACTGCCACCTCTCCCACTAGCTGTCGTCCCCTCTTCTGTGCCAGGACAGTATTACTGTGGTGCTGATGTTGACTGACTAACCTTAGATTTTTTTTTAACCTGTAGAAGTTATTATGTAGCAGTTTTGTTTTTTCACTTTTTTAGGCATAGAACTACAGATAATAGCGTTTTGGTCCTATAATTTATATAGTTTTCCATTACAAATAACTATGACTAGACATTTATAATAAAAAGAATAGGGAAACTTTGCTCATTTAAAAATGATTTTAGGTTTTATTGAGGCACTAACATATTTAGTATCATTTATAAAACCTTTAATTTTCGCTTGTTTCAGGCTTTTGTAATATAGTACAATTTTTACCTGGGTGCTAAAGATGGAACGCAGGTCCCCATGCCTGCATAGCAAGCACTTTTCCAAGTGAGTTATTATCCTTTTACCGTAGTTCACTTTTTAAAAAAATCATTTACCATGATAAACTGTACTAATATTCTTTGCTTTTAAGGAGTTTATCTTATTTTGCTATCACCTTATATGCATTATTATTCAGCAATTAAAAAATTTTCACAGCCAAACATAAACAAAGGCAATAAAAGAATCAAACACATTTGTTTCATGTTCTCCTGCATGTCCTGTAGAGGGGATGGCATATAAGAAATCTATCAGTGAGAAACAGTGATCCTGCCCTGGTTCTGTTACAAAGGAGCTGCTCGGTTCCCAGATTCCCAGCAGTCCCCTTTCTTTCCCCCAGGCCCCAGAGAGGCCCCTGGCTGTACTTGTGAAGAAGTCATATGTGACATGAAGTTCCCTTGACTTCTGCTAGCTCCTTCCTGAGGCAGGAAATGGCCGAGGCTTAGGGCTGAGGTGAAAACACTCCAGTGGGAAGACTCCTGGAGTCCTGGAGGGAGTCACAAGTGCTGGGGATTCCCAGGCCTCCTTCAGGATTCCTCAGGAGGGTGACCCTTCCCTTCAGATAGGAGCCACAGCTGCTGTCACTAAAAGTCACCCTTTTGGCCAAGAAGGGCCTTAGGGGATTCTTTCCCTGTGGAGAATGGCCCTGGTGTGGACCTTCCCACAGGATCCTATACAAGGACAGCAACTCCCTCCCATATGGCTCCCTTCTCCCGGTGATATGTCCTGGTGGATGTGCAAAGTGGGAGAAAACAGTGACACTTGAGTGTGCTTAAGCTGGTATCAGAAAGAAGAGCTTTGGTGTGAAGGAATTAACCTGAATTTTAAAAGTCTAGTTAAATGAACCTCTGAAGGCATGCGTGGCAAAACCCAGCAGGCCTACAGCATAGGAGGTCAGGGGGAAGGAGAAGCAATGTCCGATGGCCCACTTGTTTCAAGCTAAAGGGCTATGTGTGGACAGAGGCCTGTGCTTGCTTACCTGACTAGGACAAGGCTACACCAGAGAGGCTTGGCATGTCTCCAGTCTCACAGCCCACATGATGAAATCTCATAGTTGTCACATAAAAATCCCAGTGAGTCCTCAGATTAGAACAGATGGTGGACAGCTGCTGCCTGCGGGCCAAACCCTTCACACTACCCTTTTTGGTAAAATGCATTCTATTAAATCACTCCTAGGCTCATCCACTTATATATACTATTTGCATCTTTTCTACAATGGCGTAGTTGAATAACTGCAATGTAGACCAACTATCCATCAAAGCCTGAGGATTTATAACTGATCCTTTGTTGGAAAAGTCTACTGACATCTGAGCTAGATTTTGGAATCTCAAAGGTACTGGACAACTGACCAAACGGTACATTCTGTGAGTGGTTCAACATTTGAGACCTAATCCGGGTGAATTCACCAAGAGGAGACTTTGGAAAGAACAGGAATCAGTCACTGCTACACTCACACCCCAGCAAGTACCTGACCAACTTGGTTCCGATCTGTTGTCGCAGCTCCTGTCTTTCTTCTTCAGATGTTCGCTGAAGGATGTTTTTATCCTCCAGTTCTTTCTTGGATGGTCTGTTGCCAAGTTTGATGGCAAGTGTATCTCTTCGTCTTATCTTACTTGCCAAGGCACCTGAGGGTTGAAAAGGGGCAGAAATATAGGTACATCAGTTTTTACCTTACCAGGGCTTTGGTTACATGTGGTTGGACTTTAACAGGACCCAGGCCAATTTACTTGCAATGCAAGAGGGGAAACCTAATCAGTCCAAAGGGGAAAGGGGTTGAGTTGCAGACAGTTCATTTTGAAAAAGAACTGAAGGACTTTTTCCCTTTCTTTCTTTCTTTCTCTCTCTCTCTCTCTCTCTCTCTCTCTTTCTTTCTTTCTTTCTTTCTTTCTTTCTTTCTTTCTTTCTTTCTTTCTTTCTTTCTTTCTTATGTTCTGGGAAAAAGAGATCCCAAGACACCATGAACAAACTTGGAAGTATCACCTCATCATTTGGATGGTGATAGCTGAAGTTTATTCTGCTGATATGGTGGGCCGTGGAAGTCAGTGATTGTGCAATGCTTTTGCTTTCTTTTCAAGTCAAAAGCTTATCCTCTCTCCTTCTGTACAGTTAATCCTCCTCATCCTCTTCCCCTCAGCCAGGCTTCATGCTGGCAAAGAGCCTACTCTATATACAAATGCTTTAACCCTCAGTCACCCAGCATCCTTAACCTACCAGCAGACCATAGCTATCAGATGGATACTAACAAAGGGAAATTTAACAAACTTCTACTGAATCATTAGTATACTAATCACTTTTAATCATCTATAAATTCAATCCCACATCGAATTCCTCCCAAGTCACACTTCTCCTAAGTTAAAAGCAAAGCAAAGCAAAATGCAAAACATAAAACACAAAACAAAACCAAACACCACTGTAACAGCACATTCCAGCCATCTAATTAGACACAACCATGGTCTTCACCCTCCTTAGGACCCTTCCTTTCTAGAAGTCACCCTATCTTCGTGATAGTGGACAAGTGAGGATGTTGAACTTCAGCAAAGTGTTTGTCATTCTTGACTCATTCCTCTCTCTTCAAGCTACATTATAAAATGAGTGAAATTCTCTAACACTTCCAGTAAGCTAAGGAATCCCTACCTTCTCAACATTCTTCAAGAACAGGTCCCCGGACAAATGCCTACCTTTGACTTTCCTGGGAAAAGCCTCTGTTCTTAGGAAGTTTAGATTGTTTGTATTAAGACAAATGTTCAGTCTAACTGACTGATGAAGATGTGAGATATCTATGCAGTATCCTCTTCTGGGAAAAAAATCTGGGCTAAACTTTGGGACAGGCACATTTTGTATTTTCTTGCAGTACTGGGAACTGAACCCATGTCACTTTGCTATCCTCCAAGCCTGTTTTTACTTTTTAGCTTGAGACATGGTCTCATGAAGTTGTCCAGGCTAGTCTTGAACATATTCTGTATCCAAGGCTTGCCTTGAACTTCCAATAGACTTGCTCTGTTCTTCCATGTAGCTGGGATTAAAGGTCTGCATCACCAGTTCTAACTAGGATAGATACATTTCTTCTAATTTGAGAGAAGACAGTGCACAGTAGGTGGCTCTTTGTATATCACCTCCTCCCCCACCTCTTGGAAATACTCTTACTTTCTCCACTGCCATCATCATCATCATCCTCTTCATCATCATCATCATCATCAGTGTACAAGATGGGTCCATCTGAGTCAGAGTCATTGGTGTGGTACTCTCTTGGGGCCTCTTCCTCTGGGGCACTGAAGGATTCTGACAAGTCTCCCATCTGCTCAGGGGTCAGCAACTGAGGTCCAGCCTTTCCCAGCTCATCTTTGGTTGTAAAACTGTCAAAGGCAGAAAAGTACAGGGTGATGTGAAGTTCAGAGCAATCTTCATGGATACCAATGTAACGCAAAGCATGCTAGCTAGTATCATGAATATCCTTCATGGGGAAGGGAGAAATGCAACATGGGACAGCCAACTAACATTACCAACATGAAAGTGTTCTGACCCATTACTTAGTTATTAACGATAAATATTTATTGTTTGCAAAGTGAGAAAGTATTACTATATATGTAACACATTAAGTGCATGAAGTGTGAAACTGTACTTTGTCCATACTTGTCCATAAACAGTAGAGAAAAGAGTAGTGGGTTAGGGCTGACAGAGGGGTAGCTTACTTAGTAAAGTGTTTGCTGCGAACATCTGAATACCTGAGAGTTCAATCCCCAGAACTCAAAATAATAATTAAAAAATTATAGCTGTGGTAGTGCTTGCTTATACTTTCTCCCTGGGAGGCAGGGCCAGGCAGACAGGCAGATTTCTTGGGCTCATTGGCCAACCATCATAGCCTGCAAGGTCAGTAAGAGACCCTATAATCTATAAATGGATGACATCTGAGGAAAGATGCCTGAGGCTGACCCATGATCTCCACATATACACGCACATGTGCAAGCACACCTCCTTATACACACACACACACACACACACACACACACACATGCACACGCACACGCACACACTTTCACAGGCACATGCACAACAACGAGTCAGAAACGCCACAATACTTGATTCTATCCACACTTCTTGTTTGCTCTTTGAGTCTGAAGGTCAGGCCTCAGCTTCTTTGCATGTTTGTGGATCATTCAGTTGACGTCCTTACCCTACACCCCTTACCCACGTTCTCACAGTGGTCCAACAATGACTCCAATGCAGAGCTTAGCATCCCTGAAGTGTCTGACTCCTTACTCCTACAGTGCCTTTGACAAATAGGATTTATAGTTCTCTGCATCTCAACATCCAAAAGGGTGTAACGTAGGAAAGCATATATTTTATTAACATTGGATCAAATCCCATTTTCTTTCCAGCCAGTGAGTCAATAGGAAAAACCCTTAAATCCTCTCTGCACTTTAATTTCTTCATGTATAAGACTTCCAGTCTTACAGGACTAGAGTAACACCAAAGGTGCAAAGTGTTAGATGAGAGGAAATTTTAGAAGAAAGGTAATACACTGCGGGTAAGAATGCTTTGATGTTCAAACGGGTGAAACTCTCCAGAATGCTCACCCACATTCAAAGACTATGCATGGCACAACAAAAACAGTTAATTTCAAAAACAGTGGAATCATTGTTGAAAGATATAGAAAACCTCGCCCAATACTTTCTGACATAAGTAGATGAATTCACATCTGGATGTCATATTTCTGAAAGAACACACAGTTAAAAACGTGTCTGATGTTCTCACAGATAAACCAACAAACAAATCCAACCTCTAACCCTTCCCTAAGACAAACAACATAATCTGAAAGTGCTTTCATTAATTCACACTGGCAGACTTCATTAGGAAGAAAGGCGTTTAAATTCAATTTTTGTGGTTTTAAGGCCAGGCACTTCTAAGACTCTCCATTTTTTATTTAGAAAAACCCAACAGCCTAAATTGTTCTCAAAGAGGTCTATGAAATCTCACTTCGCTGTGTGCATGCATGGGTTCACTTATTTTGAATGTCTCTCTCCACCACTCTTATTATTTAAGATATGATCTCTCAATGAACCCAGAACTTAACATTCCAGCTAGACTGGTGTCAGCAAGATTTGCTGGTCGTTGCTGCCTTCCGATCTCCAGCACAGGTGATGTTACATATATGCACTGATATGCCTTGATTTTACATGGTGTTGGGGCTGAGTGAAGGTCTTCATGCTTACTTAGTAAGCACTTTACCCACTGAGCTGTCTTTCAAATACCAGAGATATCATTTTAAATTATGTGACATATAAAAGTAACCCAAGATTTCCCATCTTACCGTTTCTTAAGGGTACCATTTGGTGGCATTCAGGGACGTTCACCTTGCTGTGTAATTAGCATCCTGCATCTTCAGAACTTTTGCATCTCACTAAACTGAAGCTCTCTCACCATTAACTAGTAAGTCCCCGCAGCTCTTACCCTCAGAAACCACCATTTCCCTCTCTGTGTCTGTGATACTGACTACTTTTCCAACCTCATGTAAGCAGAATTATATACAGGGTGTACCTTATGTCACCTAACACAATGCCAAGAATATCCATGTCAAAGCAGTGGCATAAGTTCCTTCCTCTTGAAGGCTACATGATATGACAGTATGTGTGTGCGCGCGCTGTCTTATTTACTTATGCATCACCCAATGCACAGTGGGGCTCTTTCTGCCTATTGACAACTCTATGTATACTGGTGTTCAAATCCACCCTCCACTTTCAATTCTTTGAAGTTTCTAAATTACTGAATCCTATGGTAAGCTTATATTCACTTTCTTTTTGCAGACAACACACAATGAAGTGTCATTGCAAATAAGGGAAGATTTTTTTCCTATGGACAAACTTTTCTATAGTCTAGAATCTTGCCTGATTGCTGCAGAAAGCTATTCTAATTTGAAGAGACTGTCACTTTGGGTGTCTACACTATGTTTAGGAGATACGTTAATTAATAATACCCTTTGCACATGCAGAACAAGATACTTCAGGGCTTAATCCTGGCACTTGTGCTATCAGTCACTAATCTACTGTATTAATTAGTTTAACCTTACCATTGGTATAGTGTTTTGCAGTTTCATAACATTTACTTACAACTCATAACTATTTAAGACTATAAGGTGTCTATAACTATAAAAGACTATAATTTACAACATGGATCCATGAAAGGCTATAAGTCAGTAGCCCACCCAACCTGGCCAGTGCAGTGTGGGATCTAGATTGAGACAGTTAGTCTACTTACTAAATGTTATATTTTATCATTATAATTATTTAATATTAAATATGTTCCATGTCTGCATTGGTCACCTCACACCTTGCCTGTTATGGTTCCTGAGAGCACTGGACAACATAGCACATTCCATAAATGTTTTTGTGGAATGGGCTCAACAAGTCATTTTCCAATCTAACCTCAAATGGGCCATGTTTTCCTGCCCCATGATATAGAGATGTCTGTGTTACGGATCAAGCTGTAAATGAAGAGAAATGGACTGGACAGCGGTCTGTGTGACAGGAAGAGATGGAGGTATTTTTATATACAACCACTAGCCCCTTTTCAAGTTTCGATATTTGTATCCCAAACAGAAGGCTTTTCATGTTATGACAGAGTCTTCATACACTGGGTGACTAAATATAACCCAGGGAAAGTTCTAGGGAAAGCAAGTGAGCGAGAGCCAAAAACTTCAATTCAAATTCCACTTGAAAGAGAGAGAATCTGGGTGGAAATCTGAGAGACCATGTCTTCCAAGATCATTAAATCAAGTGCGAACACAAACTACCCCGGAAGAAGGCATTATAATGTCAGTTTTTAAACTAAAAAAATATACCAAAAAGAAAATGAGTTCTTCTAGGAAACTCTGAGAGTTAAACCTGGGTAGGAAAATCCATGATAAACACTCCCAATGTCAAATGAGACCCAGCCTTATTCCCAATAATCGGAGCACCGCTGAAAATGGAAAACGAATGTTTATTTCTTCATCTAAAAACTCTTCATGTATCTGGGATAACTTAGACATTAAGTTTCTAGTATGTAGTATGGTTCTTAGTGCAACAAATACCCTCTCCAAATGTTCATGGAGCTGGACAGGAAGAGTCACGTTGCCTATGGATAAGAGCTCTCTGCACCCTTACAACTGCCCAAAGTTTACCTTTCTCTTTAGCATACTGAACAACAGATCCGTATACTCAACCCAGTTTCCAAAATTGAGATTCTGTATTAAACATATTTTCCTGAGCACACTGGTCTATATTTTGATTATGATAAACTCTCCGGAACTAGCTTGCTTTGCTTACATTTATTCCATCGATGCCTACTGCATTGCCTAGCATAGAGCAAACACACCCGAATTACACATTGAAAAAATAAAAAAGTTAAGTTTGAAGGCTTGACATGATGGCTATACTGAGAAATTCTACAATGAAAGGAAAGTGAGCGGTGTGCTTGCTGCCATGTAGACAGTGCTGCGTGGACTGGGATGTGGCCCTTGGAATTCAGGTCTTGAGAACTTCAGCATCAATGCACTAGCACTGTAAGGCACGGCCTCCTGAGGGCAAAACCTTAATGAGTAGATGAAATCCATTACAGAAAGGGCTCTTGGGACATGGATACTTGTCTTGCTCTCTCAAGCAAGCTACCTTCTGCGGTAAGAGCATCCTCATCCAATACTGGTGTTTGATATAGACTTCCCAGCCTTTAGAACTTTGAGTCAACTCATTAATCATATAGATTACCCTCTCTTCTGTGTAGCCTGTGACATCATCAAACAGCCCAATAGACAGAGCACCCCATTTATCTCAGTGTCTTCTGCCTCCATAAGCTTTTATTAAAATGTCAGGCAAATAATTTGTATTTTGATATTTATCTTCCGTTACTTTTCCTTCAAATGAGACTTCTCTGGATGATAAAAAAAAAAATAAGAAACCAATGACCTGTTAGAAAAAAAGGAGCAGAAGTTGATGCAATTATTTTGGAAGAAAGAAAATTGTCCCAGGCCTGGAGTTTGGTATTAAGTGCTAGCATTGATCTCTCATTTGGCCACTGCTAACCTGGTAATGACACTAAGTCAACTGAGCTCTCTCAGCTGTGGGGTTTTAAATTTAAAACAATTGGATCTACAAAGTAGGGATATTCTAGAGAAAACTTATGTGAATTAAGTGTTAGTGGACAGTACTTGGCTGCTGACATTGATCAAGTAATCAATAAATGAAGGTTTCTATTACCAGAAACTAAATAATTAAAGTGTCTTGATCAAAGCCACACTAATTAGTGTAGTGGGTATTTTTAAGGACTTAACATGGCAAGTTTTTGGAAAGGGATCTTGTTAAATGATTTTGAGATTGAAAAAAATGTTTTTAGAAACAAGAAAAGGTTGCAATTTAGATCTGAGTCTCCCCTAGACAGAATTGACAGTGGTGTCAGCACCATTTATACTGACAAATATGTCAGTATAAATAAGTACAAATAAGGATGTCTTGCTAGCCTCACACCTATGGGTCTCACTCAACTCTAATAGTGTATTTATAGGACTTTTTGAGTGACATCAGTAAAGGAGCGTGAAGATTCTTAGTGAGCTCTAGGTTTCTGAACTGGGCAGCTGGACGATGCTGAGTCACTAACCCGTAAGATCAAGTTCCTTGGTCCATTTTATTTAGTTTTTTTTGTTTTTCTGTTTGTCTTTTGAGCAAAACTAAGGCTGGCCACTATAGTGTCTTCTGTTATAATCTACAGAATCCCCCATCAGAGGGATCTCATCTTCCGTGCTCCACTGAAGTAGGCTGATCTTCCATCTACTTTAGCTCACTCTTCCATTTTCATTAAGAACCCACCGAACACGCATTGCAGGCCTATGGCACATTAGACTCCATACTGGCTTCTAGGAACATAGAAGGAAATAGCACACGCTGGCTAGTTCTACCCTATGTGTAGGAAAACTTTTCTGAGCAAAGTAGTTACTACCAGTTCCATCTAGAAGTGTTAGAGGATCTCACAGGAGAAATTAGAATCCAGTGAAGGAATCATGAGAAAGGGCTTATTCTATGCTTGGTATATGTGGAGTCAGAATTTTAAAGAGTTCTTTATCCTTAGTCTTAATTTTCTTAGAAAAGAAAGCTAAGTTGTTACATTGAGATGATGCTGAGTAAGAATTGGTGGGAGATTTTGGGCCAAATGATAAAGATTTAAAACAAGTACCAGATGGATAAAAAATGAAGTTTCCTAGGTAGAAGAAAGAGAAGGATGAGCCATGCTGATTGAGGGTCTAAACATCCTTGGAAGGACAAAGCATATTTGTCAGTATTGTCATTACAATTTTCCACACGGCCTGTCGAACTCCACAGTCAAGGCTTAGGAAAACCAACTGTGAGACCACAGGTGTGCTACCGCAACATCAGCAGATTTAAGGCAGACCATGTTCCTTTACTCCAAGAGAATACTCTAGTGGCCTTTGATAGATACTTAGATAGAATTTGAGGTCTGTGTCCCAACTCACCATTTTGCCAGTTCTCTGCTCCCACCTAAGCCGGTGCTTGAGTACGGAGTCGTTCTGTTCATTGGCTCTTCAGTCCAAAGGAGCTGACTTGTGTCTAAGGCAGAGACGGGCAGGGTAGGTCCATCACTGACTAGGACCATGGGAGTATCCAAGGCAATGGTGCACTGATCCTCAGGGGGCAGAGGAAGGGCAGGTGGGGATGGCGGTACTGTGACAGGTGGCAGAGTGAAGATCGCCTTGGATTTGCCTGTGGCCTGCCCCTGTGCTCCAGAGACAGTCTCCTCCGGTTTGAGGCTCTCTACCCCAGTGTCTGAGAACTCTCCTTTAAGACTGGATGTGTCAGAAGTGGTTGTGCTGGGGGAGAGTCGGGACGCTGCCGGCTGCTTGCTAATTTTTTTCTTGCCCCTTGTGGTCCCCACTATGCCTGCTTTGCCAGTGAGTGACTCCTTGGGTGCTCTGGGACGAGAGGAGGTGGAGGAAGCAGATGGTGAGGCCGACGCTTTGGAGCCGGTTGTTTTCTTCGAGTGAGAAGAACCAGCTAAAATAGACACATGTTTTGCATTGAAAAATCAAAGAAAACAATACTTTAAGTGACTGATTTGCAATTGCCAATGACATTTAAAACTCTCCCTTTAGAATACATCAGATCAGTGAATATTCAGAAAATCAGTCAGTAACAATAATGGTCTTGTTTTCTGATCCTGCCCTCTAAGCCTCTCATGTTATAGGCAGTAAGTGACTTTCATGGTCAAATCTAAGGGCAAGAAGCCTCTATTTTTTCTCTCCTCATCTTCACCTGAAACAGCCAAACAGGACAGCAGCTCTTTGTCCTTCGAGTCACTCTTATAGATTCTAAAGAAAAGTCTTGGTCCTAGGAAAGAGACAGCCACTCCTGGCAAGCTGACTGTGGGAGACATATGGGCCTTTCCTAATGACATTCTTTGTGTCTTCCTAGGGATGGAGAGGTGGCCCATATTGAGAAGAAGCAGGGTGTATACTTCCAGTCTTTTTTCTGGGTCACAAGCAAATTAATTTATTTCACTACCTTCCAAGTATTAAACTCCAAGGCAATGTTCCCAAAGCTCCAGGGAAGGAAGCCCGGCCTGATGTCCTATACTTCCATAAGCTATAGAGAGGAGGGACAAGGAGGGGACAGTCACAGTGCCCCCCTGTCCTATTCAAAACATCAAAATGCAAGGAAAAATGTTTGCTGTGGTAAATAATCTGAGAGGAAGAATACCACTCCCAGCATTTGCACTTATGAGCATCCGTGTGCGTGCCATGTGTGCATGTATGTGTGTGTATAAGTGTCTGTGTGTGCATGTGTGTGCGTGTACTCACACACACACGCGAGCGAGCACATGTGTGCATATGTCTGTCTGGTTCCTCACGTTAGTATTCTGGATAGGGTTTTCCTGTATTACTTAGTTTGGTTTTGAGTTACTAGGCTCAAAAGATTGACTTGTTTGTTTCTACCTCTGCAGACTGAGAGTGCACACCACATCACTCAGCTTTCCCAGAATTCCCAATTCCAAGCACCCGGACCACCTGGTTATTTTGACTGTTTATGTTCCAGGCGAGTCTTCAAAGGACTGCTAGGGCACCTGTGCTTACTTCTGACTAGAGCTGAGTTCAACTAAGTCATTTCCAGGAAAAGCCAGTTAGGAAGCCATTCTCTTTGCCTTTGAAACACCATGCTTATGCTTGAATTTTTCTTTATACCATCCTGGGAAATCCACTTAAACTCCCATGAGAATACTCTTTTGTTTCATCTCTTCCGTTACAATGTTATGTATCTTACTTTCCAAATAGAGAGCTAAAGTTTCTTTTACCTAACTATCAGAAATGTCTTGTTAGTGTTCCAGGGCCAATCCACACTGCACACAGATATCATGGTCACTTACCTTTGGATGCAGCTTTATTGAAGTCAGTGAGAGAGTTGAAATGAAGAACAAACACAGGAACAGACAATGAGACATATAACTTCATTAATTTTGACATGTAAAGAAGCCAGTCTTATTTAGTGACAAGATTTGGGCTTACAAGTAGTCCCTCCAGTTGGAGTAATTAGTATTTTAGATACACATAATACCTGGATTTCCCTTTGCCAAAACTGGGTTTGTCTGTAGAGTTAATGAATCTGATAATCTCTCTCTGATTACAAGTTAAACTCATTAACCATACATTCTTTAAAAAAATCTAACCCTACTCTAAATTGATTTTTTAAATAAAATAGACATCAAGGGTTTTATGCTATTCAACTATTTTCCTAGTTAAACAGATTCCCTCTGCATATCAGTGCTAGTGGTATCACTTTTAACACTTGTTGAATTTTTTTGACAGAAAGTATTTAATGTCATCTTGTTTTAAAGAAAAAGGATTCCCACCCCCACCCCTCAAAGCCTGGAGTGAAAATTCAAGCCATATTTTGCTTTTAAAGTCTCTTCTAACATGAGAGGGCTTTGTTGAGATCAACCTGGGTTAAAAAAGAAATTTCACTTCCGAATTAAAATGTTTTGTTAATGGCAACAACGAGAAACACAACATCCTGGCATAAACAACAGTGTTCTAACTGATGGGTAGAACCCTGGGGCCTCTACAGAGGGAAAATTTTAGGTGCTAGCTGTTCTCAGATGTGTAGTGGAAAGTCAAGAGTCTCATTGTAACCTCTGTGTATCAGTAACAGTCCTAGAAGCAGTCACATTCATTTACAGGAAGCCCTCTGAACCCTTTACATTAAGGCACTGGATAAAATGATAGTTCTCTAGTTTTCCATCCTCTCACGTATATCATAAGTATATGCTAAACCTTCGAGAAAGTGCCTGTAAATGAGTCAAGCTCTGTCATTCCTGCTATGTCCAGCCTTGGTGTTCATCGTCAGCTTCCTTCCCAGAGTCTGAGCTCAGTCTACAGTGAGCTCGCACCACCTAGAGTAGGATTGAGGGAGGAAGTGTGTGCAAGGCAGGATCTTAACTCCCAAGGGGAGAGGCATGGTTTGAGAACTTCCCTTCCTTAGTAGCTCAGTGCCTGTCTCATGTCACCCATCATTGCTAGGCTTTGCAAGGCCATGGGGGGCATACAAACACCAATAAGAACAGACAGTGCGTCCCCAAGGAAATGACCCTTAGGCTCTGCTGTCTCGACATTCTGAGATATTTTACTTTAGAGAGATTAGAAGAGGCCTGTGCAACAAAGATCAAAGCTGGGAAGACAGGAATGCAGGGAGAGGTCTACTTGCATTCAAAGAGCTCTTACATCACCAACTAAACCTTTCTCAGAATTCCAGTATGACAAATATAAATGGCACAAGGAAAGAGATAACACTAAGTCAAATCCTGGTAGTTCGTTTCTGGGAAGCTGCTGCCCATGAGATTTATTACTGCACAAAAGGGTTTTTATGCATGCATTTATGGGGAAAAGCCATTGAGCATAGGAATTTTGATCCATATCCTTTCAAAAGTTAGATGACACAGCTGGTGTCTTCTATTCCACTAGAGGAATGGAATCTTCTCTTTCCATTCAGCATGTAGGGTTGAGAGAGAAAACTGGGTAGGCATTACATGGAGTTTGCAAATGTCCATTAGTGATTTGTAATGGCAATTCGTGATTGCAGCACACTAGGGCACTTTGACTTGATGGTCTCCTGGAGTGGATGTGAGCAGGCAGCACTGGGCATACAACTCTCAATCCATCAAAATAATATAACGTGGTGTAGAAAACCGGGATGTCATTGACTGTATATATGAACGTTTTGTCATTATCAGAGGACAGACACTTATGGATGTCAAAAATACAAGACACTGTGATCCAGCAAATATGTCAAGGACCTGTGTCACATTTAACACACAAGACTATAGTATTTTAAAAGAGAAACAATAAAGAAGCCACTCATAAACTTTCCTGGGCAGCAGGTCAGTTATATCTAGAAACTGCTTCGTTAGGTCAGTATCACTCTTAGGCACACTAAAGGGGTGGGTATATGTGTTGATTGTAGAAACCAAGACTAACAGTTCATAATTACTCCAAAGGCCACCAAGTTAATTTTTCTATTAGATAAGTACTGATGTTGCATCCCCCCAGAAAAGAAAACCACACTCTTGGAAGAAGCTACCGACCCCACATCCCAAAGCCTGACATCCTGGACTCTACCCAGTTATGCACTATGGCATACTCACCAGCCTCCCGGGATGTGTTTCGGCTTGTTGGCTTGGGTGGAGGGATGGGGGCCTGCTTACTGGGAGCCTTGACATTTTTTCTATTAGGAGGCACTTCATCCCCTTTGTGGCTGGCCCCAGCTGTGGCCCCTTTGGGAGGCACAGGAGATTTTTTTGGCTTAGGTTTGGGTTTAGGTTTAGGAGGAGTTGTAGGAGAAGGAGCAGGAGCAGCCGGTGTTTCAGAGTGGATTTCAGTGTTCTCTACAAATGAGAAAGTGAACAGAGCAGGCTGATACAGACACACACAACAGAAAAGCAAGGAGCAAGACATGGTGACAGTGATACATGTAGGTGGCTTTATGACATTTGAGAACCAGACAGTGTTTGTACCAGAGGAAGCAAAGTTTCAAGGAAAACCGAAGCCAAAAAGACAGACAGAGGAGGGTCCTCTGCATCCATCCATCATTCCTTTTTTTTTTGATAAAAGGGTGGTGTAAGTTACTGTGACAAAGTTATACCAAGGACCAATGTAAATGTGCATTAGCTATCGGCTTTAATTGCGGCCTTCAGTGTGTGGTTGCCGGTGGTGACATGGGCAACCAGTGCTAAATGCAACACAATGACCAACTTAGCCACAGAGAAGGACCCTCAAGAGTGACAGATGAGTGTGGTACACACACTGCCATGGGTGATATTTACAACCAGAAGTCTTAGTGCTTCCAACAATCAGGTATGTTCTATTCTCTGGGAGACTTCAGAGGCTTTTGACACAAGGCATTTGGCCCTTACTCTCTACCACTAGAGTGCTTTCATGTTTTCCCAGAGGAGCAGGGCAACTTCAAATTCTATGATGACTTCTTCCACCCTTTAGAACAGAGTCACAGCTCTAGGTATGCAGAGTGCAGAATAAGAGAGTCCATTTTGTCTTATTATGTATGCTTACATAATAGTTTTGAAAGGACAAAGTATAAATCTCATAGAAAGAATGAACTGTACATAGGAAGAGGAGACCCAATGAAAGCTGGAAGAGAAACAGCATCATTTTGGGGATTGTGAAGGTTGATCATGTGCCCACGCTTGTATTATTTGTAATAGTAACTGAAGTAAATTAAATAAGATTCCAGCCCAAGAGCCAAGTGGTAGTTTCTCTTTAAATGGAGCACAATAAAAAGGAAAGACAGTGTCAATACAAGACAGTCTTTACTAAGTCGATCTTTCCAGTTTTGCGTGACCAGGAAAGGCATGGCATATGTCCTAGTCCATTAACGTTTCTTCTGCTTTGCTTCTTGGACACATCACTCACAAACCCTAGCTGTACTTTGGAGACCATGGAGCTGAACTCCTCTTTAGCCTTCTGACTCAACCACGATAGTTTTCTGTTAGTGCCTGCCATGATGGTGACCCCTAAGTTGTGTGCGTGCGTGCAAATCTGTATCAAACAATGCCTTAAAAGTCATGTCTATTCAATGAATTGACAGTATTGACAATCAGTAGAAAATGATCTTTATTATTTGTACGTGGGTGGTAATGAATTAGGGGATATATATATCTCCCCTAATTCTAACCCTAGTACATATACTGTGAACATATGATTCAAAGGTTTGGTACAAATTGATGGTAAAGTAATGGAACATTGCCCTTCCAAGGGGATATTATGAAAGAGCTGTCTGTTCATTCTGGTTTGGAAGGACATGAAGCTTCACAATAGCAGTCTGGAAAATAAGCTGTCTACTCCACTTCCAGGCTTGGCTCTCTCCTCTATGTAAAGATCTGAGGTCAATAGTTAGAGTAATCCAGGACTCCATGTGTTCTGTGCCTGGTCTGGGAGGCAATTCTATCCTAATTCCTCTCTTTTAACTCATCTGTCTCCTTCCTGTCTCCCCTAGGACTTAGTTTGGAAAGACACTGTGCAGACATATACTTCTGGTTTCTCTGAGAGACCTGCTGGCTCCAGTACCCTGGCCTGCTCAGAGCTTTGCATCTCATGATGATTGCTTGTGTGCTACCTCTTCTCTTAGAGGGGAGTCTGCTTTTAGACAGAGAGCACTCTTCCTTCTCTTTGTGGTCTCTGCTAGAGCTTTACATATGTTAGTTCTCCAGTACTGTTGATGAAACAGCCAAGCGTTGACCACTGTTCCTTCACTGAAGGCCCTGCATACTCATACAATGGAGATGTTGTCAAACAACTTTCAGATAGCATGCAGTTATACTGGAATGGAGTGTAGATCAGATTCTTTGTCTCAAATATCTAAGGACACCTACTGAGAAAGAATAACAGTAGGCCAAGAGCCTAGAAGACCTTGGGGAAGAAGTGTCCTCTTGCCAGAAAAGGCCCAAGGCCACAATACCAACTGTGGAATGAAGTGCCTTCAGAACCCCAGAAACACGCAGAGAGCCAGGGTTCGGGGTGGCACCTCATGTGCTTGCTTTTGAATATTTTCTAGACAGAGGTATGTAAAATGCTTTAAAGCCATGTGATCCTCATGTGCTAATACAACCAGTTATCAGGGAGAATGATGCTATTGAGTGGATTGACTTGACTTAGCGAATCCAGCAAAATTATGGAGTTAGGACAGTAGGAGGGAGGCTTTTCATGAGAGGGAGCCCACATGAGTGTGAGTCCAGAAGAGAGGCAAAGTAAAGCAGACTGTTTTTATTTATTTATTTATCTATTTATTTATTTATTTATCTATTTATTTATTTTTAAGAATTAACAGGTGTAGGACTGAAGAAGTAATTCATATCTTTGTTTCTAGGTAATTTCTATTTAAACTAATCCTCTGTGATATTATTCATGAGTGACAGTCTTATTTTTGCCTCAGAGAATGGCTCCTATTCTTAATCCCTTTCTTGGTTAGTGGCACAGTTCCACACGGGCTCTGTCCACACAAGCGGGAGTTGTAACAGCTGCATCAGTGACACACCAGGACTCATGGTATCCCTGTCTCCCTCTGTACTGATGCTATCATGGAACTCTCTTGACTAGAAAGAACTAAATGTACTAATCTGAGGAATAAGAAAACAAAACCTCTCCCAGCCATTCCTTGGCCTGTAAGATCTGTCATGTTCTCCTGAGAACACCAAGGCCTGCTGGGTTAACTAATATAAACCTGTCAGTAACTTTTTATTACACTGATAAGGGAACCACTTCTTTTGAAGTCTGGCCCGTCACTGAGTAGCAATGACACCCACAGGGACTAGGAACAAATCACATGTGGATATGAAGTTTAATGGTTTGTTGAGACAGGTTAGTTGAGGGGGGCGACAAAAGACACCTGTCCCCTCCCAACCAAAATCTCCACTTGCAATTGATTATCTTTAAAGTCTGTCTGCTTTCTCATTATGTCCCAGAAATATTATCATTAAAAAGTACAGGCTAATACCTTATTATTAGTGTTAATAACCTTAACTAGAGGTTTCTATTGGAAGAAGCTAAGGAAAGTCCCTTAAGTGTTCTGCTTAATATCTGAGGGCAGCAAATTAATAAACTTCCAATAACTTAACATTTTAAAGGCTAATGATGGTGTATGCAAATGATCACAGGGCTTCAGCCTTCTAGAGAAAATGACTTCACATCAACAGGTTAGCTTAATAAAGCCCACCCCTTTTCCTTTTGTCTCTGGGAGGATTTAGAACAGGAGAAGAAATTCACTTAAAGCAGTTTCTAAGAGTTCTCAAAATGTCTACACAATCCAAATGAGGTTGAGAAACGTTGCCATGCAACTCAGAAACAAACATTATAGAAAACAGGAAACATACCATTTCCTGAAAATCCCTTCCTATGTGTGTGTTAACATTTATTCTGAGGATTTTGGGCTAAACCTTTCCTTATAGGACATCAGCTCAAGGTTTATGCAAGCATAAAGCTTGGTGAAATATAAGGTGGAGTTGGGATGGATCCACCGTTAGGAGTTCATGAACATCGTAAAGGATCCCGTCAGACATATATTTTACAGTGTCTGATTCTGAGCTTGCTGTATAAACCAAGTTTTTAGAGATGCCTTTGCAGGAACAGTGTAGTTGCCTGTGGCATATTTGGAAACTTGGAAGTGCATGGCAAACTGGCAATGAAACCTTAGCTCCTTATGGGTCTACTTCTTGCTGTATCTTAGAAACGTCTAGAAGCTAAAATACTGGGCTGTCTGGATGCACAAGCTACTTCCCACTGCCAGAGAGGGAGTCTATGCACAGAGAGACACTTGGCCCCTTGTTGAGGTGCTCACACGGACCAGCTACAACCAGAAGAAAACAATGTTCCAAATCCTCTTGGGTTTTTGAAGGTCTCGAGAGAAAACCTTAAAGAGGAGACCATTTCCAGGCAAATGTAACACCTGAAGAGCCCAACCATTTTGATCCCTACCATTAGTTAGCTTTCCTTACTAACAAACACAAAAGCAGATGGCACATGTATAACTGAATGTGTCCATCTGCGTACTGGCCTGTTTCTCTTCCCTAGCCTCCTTCCAATTTACAAGGCTCCTGATTGTAGTCACTCTTTGGTTCTCAACGTTGGGCTGTACTACAGGAGATGATATGGGAGTCTGTTTCTTTTACCTGGCTTCTCTTCTGCCTGTTCCTCCCGAGGTGGTGTTTTCTCACACACAGAGTCATTCCCTTCTTCAGGTTTCCCTACATTCTCCTCTTGGGTAGCTTCCTCTCCGATGTGTATCATGTGCCCGTTTGAATTTTCAAAGTTAACTGTTACATCTCCATCTAAAATTGGAAAGAAACACCTAGATGTCTAACTTGATGGCTTTCTTTAACATTAGTTTCCCATTCACTAGGACTTCAGGATCTGGGTTCATGTTTCTGTCCCTGGGAACCAATTCATCAGGCTTTCCCATCTAATTGCTCTAAAAGGAAAGAGGCATAAAATTCTTGGTCTTGAGGGAAAGCAACAGTGGACAGAGATTCCTATGCCACCTCAAGACAGCCCACATGGCCACCATAATCACACAGTGCCCCAGGCCAGCAGAGTTCCTCTGTCCTTGTGTTTAGGTTTTGTTGAAGTAAACACTTAGGTGTTTCTTTTGCATCCAGAAACTGAATGGAAGAATGATCTGGAAAATGGAACAAATATTGTAACATGTCAAAACCACAAGGTGAATGCAAATATACAAGTAACATGAGACACAATTACACATATGGAGTGGGAGAGCAGAGGGTTTCCAGGTGCCAGCATCTGTGAGTGTGTCAGTGTCCAAACTAACTGTGAGTGTGTCAGACAGTGTCCACACTGTACATAACAAATAACTATGAGCATGTCAGACAATGTTCACACTACACAGCAATGTAACTGTGAGCATGTTAGCCAGTGTTCACACTACACAGCAATGTAACTGTGAGCATGTCAGGCAATGCCCATACTCTACACAGCAATGTAACATTTCCTTTGTTCAGGGAAAAGATTGTTTTTAACGCTAATTTTATTTTTAAATTTTCTTCATTATGGGAACAGTGAGAGAATTATAGCTAGAAAACATATATCAAAAACTAGTTACAGAAGAATTTTTGAAATTCACAGCTTAGAGTACAATTCCTCATGTATTCTAAATCATAAAGACTAATTTTAACCCCTGACCTTTTTTACGTCCTGAAGATATTTAAAATTCAAGGGATTTGGAGAGCTCAGTGATGTTTGGCGATATTATCTCAGTAATTATTTTCACACATAGAAACATAAGAGGCTCTGATACCACCTAAGTTTTTACTTAAACTAATTGAGAAAAAAAATATCAACAGAGTTGCTTCTATTCAGGTTTTTAAAATTGTTTTTGCAATCATTCATTTCTCCAATTTTCACTGATTTGCTTCATAATAAAATTCACAGTCCTTGTTAAAAAAATCATGACGTTTTCATAAGGAAGATAAATATGGAATTATGGCATGTAAAAACGAAAATGGAATTGTGACTTAGTCATGTGGTTACTAAGAACCTATATCTGATTCCTGGAGAAAACTACAACAGACAATAACTCAAGGCAATGCAACTGCAATTAAACCTTCTCAATTTCAGTAATATGAGGTAAGAATTATTGGACTTGAAGCAATTAATTTTAAAAAGAGGAAAAGGGGACAGATAGTACACTGATAATATAAAATGGACAGTTCCAAATAAATTAGAAAAAACCCCACTGTCTTATATATAAATCCCCTCTTTTAAAGTAACTCAAATAAAGGTTTTATTTGTGTTTTCTGATTTTAGTTAGTAGTATAATAAAGCCATGTTCATAACAATTTAGTGCTATTATAAGTGATCATATGTTAATCAGGTTAAATAACTTATTTTTAAAACACTAGAAAAAACTATAGAAAATTTAAATATTATCACAATACTATGCATGAAAAACAGTCAACTATGTGGAAAGGTACTTACTCTGAGTCATGAAATTAAACTAGTACATATAAAAGTAATGGCAGAAAAAAAGATCATTTGTAGGAACTATTAAGTCCATGAAACAAGAGAACTGAAGTCATTAAGTGAGTAATTATCTACATCTTGAAAGCTTTCCTAGAGATCTGTCTTAAGAAAATTTTTCTCAGAATTAAAATAAATTCAGTCCCTGATATAGTATGCTATGCATTTGAAATATAAGCCCAGGAAGAGAAGATGGCAGTCACTGCTGAGCCAGGCCTAGGTTACAGGAACATGTGACAAATGCTGGAAGAGTCTGTGAGTGCTAAGGAAGGACCCTCATAAAGCTCACATTCAGCCTAAAGTAAAAGCAGGAGAACATTTACACAGATATGAGCATGTGTGGCCAAAAAGAGAGTGATTCGTCAGACTAGATTCAGAAAGTGATTCACCACACTAGAAGATAGGAAGGATGAGGTCACAGCCAGGGCAGATGGAGGGACTTAAAAAGTCTATCTGGTCTATCAAGCAAAGCTCATAATTGACAATAACTGTCAGGAGCAGTGTCAAGAAGACAGAAGCCTTGAGCGAATCCTCACTGATGGAGAGAGGCTGTCACAAAGCAAGCAGCAGGGGCCAGTCTTTCAAACAGGAATTCTCAAAGTAATTGTTTTAGGAAAGAGGAAGATGATGACTATTAAGAATAAATAGAAAACTACTTTCTGTAGCTCTTGGCTGAAAACTGGGTGATCTCCAAGGGGCATTCTTGGGCACTTTCAACCATTCTAGTGTTCTATAGGAGAACGGTGCCAAATTACAAAGTGAAATTCAGCAAAGTCCACAACACTTCTGAATTAGAAAAAGCGTCTGGCCTGTAAACTCCATCATCAATCCCAATAACATATTTCAACCATAATGTTCCCTTTCCTTTTCATTAAGATTTTCATTTTATTTTTAACTACGTGCACGTGTGGATGTGTCTACACATAGGTGTGTGCATGTGAATACAGGCCTTTCAAAGACCAGAAGAGGGTGTTGGATCCCATGGAGATGGATTTACAGCAGTTGTGAGCCTTTAATGTGAGTGCTGGGAAATGAATTCATGTCCTTTGCAAGAGCAGTAAGCACTCTTAATGGATAAGCAATCCCTCCAACTCCTCTTTTCTTTTCTTTAAACTAGTCTCAAATAAAGAATACCATACAAACGGATGGGCCACCACATAAAGCTGATTACAAGGGTTCATCTCAAAGGTTCTGCTCTCTGCTTCCTACAGAGACTGGTGGGAAATGAACCTATATACTCACGCCCCCTACATACCTACTTTCTGAGTGCCTACCTCCTGGAAGCCAACCTCCTGCATGTCTACCTCCTGCATGCCTACTTCCTGGAAGCCAACCTTCTGCACGCCTGCCTCCTGCATGCCTGCTTCCTGCATGCCTGCCTCCTATATGGCTAACTCTTGCTAGGAAGAGGAAGCATGAGCATTTTTCATTTTTAAAGCCTTGAGGCAGGAAACAAATAGCTTCAAGGTAATAGCATATTGAAAAATACAAAAAGCTCATTAACAATGATGAGGGGAAAATTTTGACAAGTCAGAAATAGAAGGAAAATTTCTAAAATTGCAAGGGCTTGCTCAATCAAAATGGTCTTAGTCCATTCAGGACTCCCTCAGTCCTGATGCAGCCTTGTCTTTCTAAGCAGCACATTGACATTATGCTGGTATTGAGGGAAACGTGAAATTTCAACTCATATACAATATTAGATCCCAAATGTTATTTATATTCTTTGTAAGGAACATATATGATGTATCTCTCTACAATGGCATATTATTTCTTCCCATAAAGTCTCAGCAATAATACATTACCCTAGTAAACTTGGGAGATGAGGAAGGAGAATGAGCTAAATTATCAGCTCCACAGAAAAATGTCCTTTAGTTTTAAAAGCATTGGGAGCAAAAAAAAAAAAAAAAAAAAAAGTGCAATTGTTTAATTGGAGAAATAACCAGTGTTGGTGTCTTTTTAACGTGTCAATCTTAATTTCTACACAATACTTTCTCTTTTCTGATTAACTTCTGTCCTTCAGAGCATAGAGATAATAGACAGGGAAGGAAAGAGTAAAAAGAACAGAACAAAACAAAATAAACTCAACCACCTCTGGGAGAGAGATATCAGAATTATCAGTGATAAGGTGAGAAGCAACAAGACTCAGAGAAATGCAAGAAGAACAGATTACCTTGGGAGAAAGCATAAAGTAGATTAGTTTGTCCATTCATACTTTATTAATTTGTGAATATTAGGTAATGTGTATATTAGACAATGTAAGGGATATGCAGCACGGTTGCTATTCCTTTTATTGGCAGTGTTGAGAAACAAGGAAGGCACAAACAATCTGCAAGTGAACTCACTCAAACAATTGAGTTTAACTTGGATAGAAGTATAAAGCTTGAAGTTGAGGCGGGAAGGAGCCATGAAGCATCTTGACCTGTATTTCTGGCTCCCAATGCAGTAGCCCGAAAAGCAGAGAGTTGAGAGCAGCCTATGTAGCAAGGCTGACTGGTAAAGTCACTGGGCTCCTTTTCTATAACACCTTGGCTTCTTGGCCACCCACAGAGACATTCCAGGTGGAAGCAAGATTCCTGTTGGGCACTACCAGCCACTTTATCTGACAACAACCACAGCCATTTTAAATTCCAACAGGAAAAGAAAGCGTAGGAATGAAGAATCCAATTAGTTTAAATGTAAGACAAATTTCCTCACCTTGATCAGGCAATTCCTTAAGCAGGCCCCTTCTTATCAGCTCCTCTCTACTTTGTCTGGTGGATATCTTCCTCTCTAATACTTTTAAAAAGAATAAGCACAAGGTAAGAATCAAGTCATTGCTTCCAACAGTCATGAACAATATTCAAAGGACTTGAGCCCATTTATTCTGTCCACATGAAGACTCAAACCCACGTTTGTTTATTTGTTTTGGTTGTTTGATGCTTACCAAAACAACTCATCTAGAGTCCAGTTACCAACAGTAAGGGCACAAACAGACCACGATCTAGGGCTTAACCCTGAACCTGGCCAAGATGATCATGTTTGAAAAGGAATCCAGACATATTGTTGCATACCAGGTATGGAGCACAGAGGGCACTTAGCATCTTTCCTTTGATAATGATGCTCTCTAAAACGTCCACTGACAGAGGCATTTGCAGTGAGATATGCAAGCATACACCTAGAGATAGTCATATGAAGTGAGTGAACCTCTGCATTCTTTGCATATATGATTCCTGGATTTTATACATATACATACACATACACATACACATATACATACATACATACACACACACATATACACGTGTGTGTGTGTGTGTGTGTCAGGAAAGAAGGAGACTGTCTAAGAGAAAATGGAGATTAATGGGAACAGGGACTGGTGGGGAAGGGGTGGTAGAGAGTATGAACAGAATACACTTCAAGTACAAGATATTCTTGTACGACAGTGTCCTTATATAACACACTACCATGTACAATGAATATACATAACAGAGAAAAATAATGATACAGATCTTTGAGAATTCAGATAACTGTGTGGACTTTTAGAAGATTTAAAGTTCTTTTCAAATGCCTTTAAAATTACATCAATCAATCAATCAATCAATCAATCATCTGTGAGTGCATGTACACATGTATCCACCCTGGCATATGCATGGTGTCCATGCAGAGGTCAGGGAACTACTTTTGGAAGTCAGTTCTCTCCTCCTGCCAAATGGCTCCCAGGGATTTAACTCAGATCATCAAGTGTGACGCCTTGACCTGCTGAGCAATCTCACAGTATTTAAATTAGTTCATTTTTTAGCATTTAAATTTCATTTTTACTATTATTTATTTTATGTTTGTTTGCATATATGTCTGTGGACTATATGCATGCATAGTGTCAGGAGGAGGAAGAGAAGTAGGAAAAAGAAGTGTCAGATCTCCTGGTACTGGAGGTTTTAGATCGTTGGAAGTTACCAACTGTATGGGGTATAGGGAATAGAACCTAGGTCCTCTGGAACCGCTGAGACATATCTCCAGTACCCTGAAATTAGTTCTTAATGACAAAAATTCCAAACAACAAACACAAAGCAAAACAAAAGCTCCAAATCAGAAACAACCCACATAGTTCCTGTAAACATTCCATCTGAATCCTGGTGAAAAGGGATAATTTTTAGTGTTTGTTTGCTTTTATTTTTTTCTCTCTCAAACCATCAACTCAAAAGTTCAATACAATGGCTCTCCATAACTAGAGGTTCTGGTATGTCCCTTGACAAACCTTAGGAGAATGAAGAAGGGAAGTGGGGCTAGGCAGCTTTTTGAGGCAAGTCCAGGGAAGGGACTCAATCTCTGCATGGATTCTTCCCTCTTCTGGAAGCACTCTCTGTTCCCAGTATAGCTTAGGCTGGAGCTTAGATGCTGAATGCAGGACTTGAATGGCACTGAGCCTGCATATCTGAATCTTTTTTTTTTTCAGAGATATATATTGTTTATTCAAACAAAGCAAGGGAAACAAAGGGCTTAAAAATATGGAACGCTTCACGAATTTGCGTGTCATCCTTGCGCAGGGGCCATGCTAATCTTCTCTGTATCGTTCCAATTTTAGTATATGTGCTGCCGAAGCAAGCACGCATATCTGAATCTTAACATGCCACTAGCTTCACTTCCCACTGGAGGGTCCAGTAGGTGGAGGGTATGAACAGTAAACAATGGTTAAACGCATGGAAGTCTTCTCTTAGTGTTTACTGAAGTAAGAAGTAGAGACTTTTCAATGTCTATAACACTGCATAAAAATATCATAATTTTCAGGAGTCCTGGGTGTTAGTCCCAGGATGCTGGGAACAAGTCACTCGATACTGGGCAGCCTACATCAAGTTTTTGTGCTTCTAATCTATGATCTATAAAATGAGGGGCAAGACTCGGTGGTCACTAACTCAACCAGCTCAAATACTGTGGGATTCTGCATCTTCAATGAAGGCTATTCCAAAATCTCTGCTTTGTACACCTTTAAAAACTTTTATTCTTCCCTAAAACTTTTCTTTCTTCATCTAGAGACTAGAACATAGCTTGTTCACACTTAAGCTGTTCTACTGTGGATCCCAGTCCACTCTTTTAGTCTGAGTTTTGAGATTTTGTTGGTTTAATTCTAACTTAAATCTTGGTTTAAACAAATCTTCCTCTATCTTCCTTGTATATGAAAAATTCTTCCCATTTCTTCATGTGTGAATTCCGTGAAGCTCCGTGCCGGCTCCTACCAGCAGTCAAAGTCAACAGTTCTGCTCTTTTTTGCTTTACCTCATAAACAGGTGCTGATAGGAAAATACCATTAGCTGTTTGCTTGGTCTTTGGCTGAGAGCATTTTAAACACATAATGTAGATAACTGTGTGAGGGCCAATGTGGACAAACTGCAGGCTGCTGGGTATGGAAGGTATGTTGTTGGGCATAAAATTCCAACCCCTGTTCTCCCTGAAGTACAAGAATCTTATTCTTCACCTTTTAAAATATTTGCCTTGTGTTTATACAGTGTCTGTGTGTTTGTGGAGCAGATTCACTGGACATTTTTCATGGGCTCTGAGGGGTTTTGCATTGGAACAGACTTGAGGGGTCATTTTGGTTCACCATGCCACACAGGGCAGGAGCATCATGGGAATGTTCTTGAAGCTTGCTCACCTGCTTCCCTACCTTCAGAGGCAAAAATCCTTTCATGTCTTTGAGGCCTACTTCAACTATCCATGAGCCTTATTTCTAGGGAGAAATCTCCCAGGTATCCCCCAGATCGCACTCCCTCTGACTTCTGTATGTCAATCAAACTCAAGCTCTTGTTGTTCCATTATAGGAAGCCATGTGTGAAGAGAAAGCAGCAGGAGTCTGCTCCACACTTCTCACTAGAAGCAAGTGTGACTACTGAAGCCACATGAGGCCTGGTCCCCAGTTGTCTTTGTAATTGAAGATCACACTAATCTGTATAAGAAATTAAATACAGTATAATGTGTGTGTAGGGGTTGCAATGTCCCACAGCTATACCTCCAACAGTGACATGTTGGTTACTGTCACTCAAAATACGGGTATATTTTGTTGAAAATGTAAATTAAAAAGAAAAACAACCTTGTCCTGGTTCTTGTTTTCTGGCCTTTCTTATTTTCTAGTCCAGGAGAAAGCAAGAGAAGTTCATGGTACAGCCCCAAGGAACAAGGGTGTTCTGTCTCCTCTTGTCTTTATACTTTGGCTGGGCCAGGCTAAAGGAAACAGTTTCCACTTTAGTCCTATGGATCATGTGAAAAAGGCTCTGTATGAAGCAAAGAAGGGAGCCCACAGTGTGTGGACAGACCAGCAGCTAGCAGGGTGTAGCACAAGACTGGCTAGGCTCCTTGCAAATTATAAATGATTTATGATGTCCTTCTGGGCATGGAGTGACAGCTATGGAGCTTGCATTCAAGAGTGGCCAGGCATATACCACCAGCTCCTCTTGTTAGATACTTGGCTAGGATTTCCTGTTACTCTGGAAGTATCTGGGAGAGTAAATTGTGTAGTCAGCCAATCACTTGTGTTTTTTACTTGGCGAGGAAAGAGAGTCCTAATTCTCAATCCCAACACTGTTTAATGACTGAACAAAATAGAAGGGTAAACAGGACTCTCAAATAAGTGTGCCCTGTTATCTTCTTGGTTCTGAGTCATGAATGGGGTTGCTGTAAAACTTCGACAGAAACACAGAAACCCACTTGTCCTGTATTTGAAGTGTTCTATGAGAGCTTGCTGGGCTTGGCTCCTCTTCAGGAGCACTGAAGGAAAATAGGATGGTGGAAAACGGCCTCCTTTCTGAAAGACCCTTCACAAGGATGAAGCTAGCCCAGTTAAAGAAATAACCACCCATGCTGGCCAACATGTAACACAGTTGTGAAAAACCTTCCAAAACATCTTAAAAATGGAAAGTAGAGTAACAAAGCCAACATCGCCTCCTAAAAACATACAGGGGTCTAGTCTGGCCCTTTTCTTGTTTGTCCAATTATGCCACTCCTGTACTCAAAACTCTTCAGACCTCAGAAGGGGCTAATCTTCTTGGAACAGCAGCTATGCTCTACCACTAGCCACATTAAGTGGCCATTCTCCTTCCTTCTCTCCATCTGCCCCTCCCTTCCTTCCTCCCTTCTGTCTCCCTAGTACTAAGGTCAAGCTTTACTTACCATTTTCTAAGCATCTTCTTCTACTCTTCAGCTCCATTTCTATAGTTATTGTTTCTTCCTACAACTAGATGGCTTCTCTAACTGCTCCATGGTGAAACCATCCCTAGAGTTTTATGCCGGTTTCAAACAACACCATGTGCAGGGCCTACCCTCTACTTCATATACTTTCAAGAAACCATTAGATGCTTTTCACCTATGGGATGAGGTGATATTTGCTCCCTTTAGGTTCCTTCGGAGGTGATGACTTATGCCATGTAAAGAGCATAGAGTAATACCTACAGTCTAGAGAGTTTCTAAGATATTCATGCTCTAGAATGAGCCACATGTACCTTGTTTGCTGTTAAACTCATGTGTGTGTGTGTGTGTGTGTGTGCGCGCGCATGCTATGCATATCCACACAACTCTAGTGAACACCCTGACATTTTATCCCTATAATGCCCTAACTGCCTTACTGCACACTGAGGAATCTAAATATCTTTTATTTGGGCCAGGGAGAAAAGGTGTGGTGAGAGAGGCAAGGAGTGTCTAGAATATGTATGTATGTATGTATGTATGTATACATATATATGTGTGTATGTACACATATATATAGATATAAACATATATACCTACATATATATCATCATACACACATTTAT